AGCTATGTGGGTCTTTACTGACTCTATAAAATCTCCAAACATGGAAAAAAAAACATCCATCTGTTTTCTTTCAATGTTTGGTTTTAGGAATTCTGTGCCCAAAATAGGCTGTTTAAAAAACAAAACATTTGTGATGTCACAAATGGGGAAATTAGCATAAAACCGCCGCTCATGTGGAAGAGAGTGTTGGTGTTAGAGGAGCAGCAGCTCTACTCTGAGCCCCTCCCAGATATCTGAGCTTCACAGCCCATAGCAGCTTGAGTGCGCTTGGGGAGGGGGAGGGCGGCAGCTCCAGCTTGTGTTCTTAAAGTGACAGAGAACTTAAACAGCTCATTGTGGAAGGTTCTGGGAGCGTCATGAATAAAATTGCTGAAATCACTTTATGTGAGAGGGATTTTGTGCAAAGAACTCCATGAATATAGTTGATTTGAACTATTATAACTGAAGAATAAAGTTATAATAGATCCACTTTAAATAAATGACTAAAATAAAGTTAGAAGGGGAGTTTGGTTTCAGCAAATCACTCCCTTGAGAGAAAAAAGAACTTAAAATTGCTTTAAAAGGAGGTGACAAAAAGTTTATTGTTCATCCTCTTTGATCAATAAACCCGCGTCCAAAACGTTGTTCATGCAATTGTTGTATAAATATTTTCAACACCATCAGTTTCTTATGATGTCGTTATCTCGTCACCTGACTCCTACATACAACTAAAGTGCTTTTAATAGTAACACTAATAAATAACTGAGCAATACAAAGAGGAAAATGGTGTAAAAGGCTCACAGAATAACTTTACAGGAATCAATGAGGTTGGTGCTATTTTAATATAAAACAAATGTATCGACTTTGACTAGCTGTTTGCTTATCAATCCTGTAAAACTTTACTTCTCCAAAAATAAAGTTACAAGTCAGAAACACACTTCAAATCGATCCAAAACAACCTTCTACTTTTGATGCTGTTTCAGTTTCCTCCTAGGTGTCCTGGATGAAAAGCTCACGTTGAAGTTTTCCAGCGTGAGTGTTGGAAAAATAATCAGGAGGCTTGTTCTGGTGCACCAGCAGTCCCATAAAGTGGTTAAAACACACACCACCCAGTCACCTCTCTGCACCGAGTCCCCCTGGGGCCACCGGTCCTGGCCTGTTTGATGATCAAAAGAGTCGAGGTGAAACCGCATGTTTACAAGTGTGGGGAAATTGAATGTTTCCTCGGTAAAAGGAAGTTTGCATGTGAGACTTTTTTTTGTGGAGAGATGAGGGCGGGGCCTTTTACCTGCAGTCACACATCAACCTGCCACATGCTCCACTTCTTGCGTCCATGATTATGTGCATGAACGTTGAATACGTGTGGAGAAAACTGGTAATGCTATCCAGCGTGCCTGCTTGGTTCTGAGTTCTGCTCGCAGGTCTTTGATGGTACACCTGCTTCACGTTGTGAAGAGCCTCGGCTGTGTGAGAAATAAAGCTGCGCCTGACAGCAGATTACCTATGGAGGTGAACAAACAGACCTGGTGAGATGCTGCATGTGAGGCCTGTTGAGAAGCTCTGAAGCGGGGAGGGATTCAGGGAAAGTCTAACACTTTTTTTTTTGGTATTATAATTTTGTGGGGGAACCACAACCATAAGCACACCTCAATCAAACTTAATTTACTATGCACCTCTCCACTTTGTGTTGCTCTGTGTGCAGGAGGGGACCAGTCGCTCCAAGCTTTCGGCATGAAAGGAAGAGCGTTTAGCTTTTTGAGGCTATTTGTGCTTCTGACTGTAGTGTTTGTGTCCGATGGGAGGCGCCTGCGCCAGCTTCCTTAAAGGAGCGAGGGGAGGAGGAGGGGGGGTTTGTTTGTTTCTCCACTGTGCCAGGAGAAGTGACAGCCATTCCGGCTCTTTTCACTCGAACACATTCATCTGTGTGAGAAAAAGGCAGGCCGCTGAACTTAGATGAAAGGCCATGGGAGCTGCTCAGCACAGGAAGGCAGACTGTACATCCACTTCAGCACAAACACAACATGATGGAGGCAAAGAAAGACATCTTTTTACACCATTTATGTTTATAATGTGGGTTTCACAGTCATGTACTAGGAACACCAATTTAAGGTCACAATAGACCCCCAAAACCTCCTAAAAAGTTACATTTTATAACAAATATGAATAAATATGTATTGTTATTAATACTATTGTTATATATTCCCTCATAAATTAATGTACATCACCTTGGATCACAAGCTGAAGCCAACAATCACTTCATTTGCTTCAATTCAGTAAAAGGATGTAGCATTTGTTTGTAAAGTTTTCTTAGAAAAGGCCTTCATACCCTTAGTAAGGGTCTGTTATCTCTGCTGTGTGTGTGTGTGTGTGTGTGTGTGTGTGTGTGTGTGTGTGTGTGTGTGTGTGTGGCTAGTTTGTTTTAATGTATTTATTTACTTGAAGCCATGAATTTAAAATAGCCATTTGTGGGAAACTGTGAAATTTGCACATTTAAGTGGAGAATAAAGAAGTTTTAAACTTTTTGCAAGTTAAACCTATTTGACTTTGATTACGTTAAATATAGTCATGTCTTTGATATTTTCAACTGTTCAAACTTTCAAAATACAGAAATATTGTTTGTTTTAGGTGGGTTTGTTGTAAAAATGCAAAGTAAATATGTTTGTGCATTTTTTTAAAGAAATTCATCTCTTTTCGTTTTGGTCTTATGATGATTTAGGGATTTTATAAGTAATTGTTTTACCAGCACTGCGAAATAATTATCATCAATATGCCTTCCTGACGCGTTAAAGCGCGCGCGCGCGCAGACATGCTTAAGACTCCCAAAATATGTGTGCCACCTAAATCTGGACCCACGTGAAAATCCAATCAAAAATGACAAAAAAAAAACACCACGATGTTTCGCCAATTAAATCTGACACGTGACACAATTAAAACCAAAACAATAAATAAATAAATACGGTTTTTTTTTACAATGCGATCCTGTTAGAGAAAATTCAATCATGTGGTTAAAATTGTAGATTTAAGAGAAAAAAAAGACTTCAGTTGAAAACTTTCATTTCTCATAATTTTGCGTTCCTAATGTCACAGATGAGTTTTGTGTGCGCGCGCATGTGTGTGTGACCTATATGTTGCAAGTGTGCCAACCAACACGCGCGCGACCTCAGAGAAGCATCACCCTGAACTCTCATGAGGCCACGCGCTCTCATCTTTGCGTATATTTGCTCTTTTCTAGCTCCAACCCGAACACTTTTAGCACCGAGACCGACTCGCCTCTCTTTCCGAACCGCAGTGGAGCTGGTTTTGGGGCCGTTTCAGACCCAAACGTCTCGTGCGTAACTGGCGCAGAGGGAGCGGCGCTGTAATTAAATTGCTGAAATATATTTTCAGCAGAAGTGCGCCTGCTGTTTTTTTTTTTAATTAAATGCATCAGTCGCTGTTTTCCTCATGTAGATTAAGGAGATGGTTTGGGTTCAGCTGGGGAGGAGATAATTATCCGCTGTTTGTTTTTGGAAATAATGTACAAAACTAAACATTTTATTTTTATTGTAAAATGATGCTGTTTTCAATGATTGTAGCCAGATCACACAAAAACTTCCTTAAAAACTGTAATATCAACAAACACAGTGCACCATGGCTAGAACTAAAGTGTGACCTCATCTGATGACCCCAAAGGAATTAGTTGAATCCCAAATTTAGCATCATTTATCCGCCTTGCAGGCCAAAAGTGAGGCAGGTTTGTTGTTCCTGCTGTACAGTACTAGGAACATTGTACAAAGAGCAACAAGAAGCAGGAAACAAACTTGAAAAAAACCTTTTCCTCCTCTGTGGATCAATATCAGCACAGCAGGAGCCGAACAGGAACCGACATGGATGCACTGTGTAGATCTGACCTTTCCCACTCTCCACAGTCACACCTTCCTCCAGCGAGGAGGTCAGCAGGCCAGACACCGAAGGGGCCATCAGCAAATAAATTATCTGCATATAAACCAATAACCTGCATCTTTGAGGTGAAATGTTCAGATTTGTATTTCTCTAAAAACAAAGAATATTTTGTCATCGTTCATATATTGGTTCAGAAATCAGAGCAGCTTCTCCAGAAATCACCAACCTTTTGATTTACCGCATTATTTCTGAGCCAAGAAAAACAAGCAGCTTGTATGTTGACTGCAGTCAACCAGCCCTGACACACACACACACACACACACACACACAAACAAACACACACACACACACACACACACACACACACACACACACACACACACACACACACACACACACACACACACACACACACACACACATGAGCCACTTGCTGCTGCAGCGAGCATTGGCCTGCAACGGATAACAAGTCCCACCACAATCAGCTCAGCAGCCATGAGTGCAGCATATTATGGAGAGAGCACTTATTCACACAAAATGATCAGAAGCAAGCAAAAGCTGACAAAACTGATTCCCCCTGCCTTTTTAATGCACACGACCTGTTTATAGTCTTAATTTTGTCCTGCTTTTGACAAATCTGAAAGGGCCAACGTTCCAAAACCCTTAGTCATAATTATCTTGAATAAACATTCAAATTAGAATAAAATGCAGCATTTTATTCTAAATGAACAGACTAACATGACGTATGTGGAAGAGAATGCACATGGGACTGAACAGAGTCAAGTTCAAGTTCATGGCTGCAGCCTATGGAGGTGGTGGGGGTCCATTTTTAGAACATCTTCAGACAAATTCACCAGGTTTGCACAAGTGTGAGCGTGCAACAGGCTGCCTTTTTTTTATGAAAAAAACTTTTAGAATTTTTTTTGAGCAAATCACCTTAGTAAAAAATGCAGCACATTGTTTTATGAATCCTGTCTGCATGTTCTACAAATAAAAAGGTCTAAAATTAAGAGTTTATGTTTGGAAGCCTGAGACAAGAATTCGTTTTTGGCTAGCCCTCATTATGCCCCAAAAAACGCCAAAGATTCTGCTCTCTCACCAGCAGCCAACAGAAATATAAAAAAAAAAGGACAAAAGAATTTTTAGCACTTGCGACACCTTTTATTATATTTGTATGCAGTAAAATCTGATCACAATAATGAAGAAAACACCTCTTAAAACTTTGAACGAAAAAGAAAAAGCACAGAACGAAACAACTGCCCATGTTTAGCTCATCATTGTACATATTTATAGTAAAAGAAACATTCTTTATAAATACTGTTTCATCTGTAGCAAGTAAATACCATAATTTAATTACAAATGGATAAATATGGTAGCTGATATTTACCAAAAAAAAAAGGAAGGATGTAGTTACAGAAAATTAGAAAAAGAAAACGGCACAACGTTTATTGTCCTCACAATCTTCCGGGTAGGATTTCACAATTTAAAAACTTGCAAAGCACAAAAAACATCACAAGTTTAAGCCCAGCAAACTAAAAAATATACATTCACAAGCGTAATATTGTGGTGTTTTTGAGTTAAATGTTAACTTTGGCACTCTTTCCAGTTTAAATGTTTAGTATAGTACAATCAGTTTGCCTTAGGATCACAATATTCAACAGTATATTACAATTCCATGGTAATATGTGCACTAAAATTCCAGTTAGAGGAGTAGCTACCTGCAGGAACATCTAGAACACCAAAGACTGACAAACTACCACAACCAAAGGTGGGCTTTTTAGTTGCTATTTACAATAAGAAACACGCCTCAGCTTTTATACACATCTTTTCCCTCTCAATCTTTTCCCTTGGTGGATGAAAACAAAAATTATAAACGTTTGTGTGCCTTTTTGTGTCCAGTTCTCCACGTGGGAACAAAAATAAAAGTGGCCCAATGCTGTGAAAAGAGTGCTCAGTCCTACACGTACCACTCACTGAAATTGGAGGACAGGCCACTGTGGCTGGTGGTGTTGTGCACAGCTGAGGCTGGAGACAGGGTGGTGTTGCTTTGGGTCTCGGTGGTGGGGGACACAAGGCCTGGAGGTGTGGAGGATTCGTAGCCGGAGCTTGCTGCTGGAGAAGAATCTGATGCTGATGGAGTGGATTCGTGGACCTGGAGCATCAAAAAGCGCAGATTTATCAACAAAAACTTGTACAAGTTTTAATAGATTTGTTAAATTATATATTAGCAAATAAAAAATGTAATAAATCACAAAAAGTTGTGTACCTTCATGTGTTTTCGTAGAGAGCTGGGATGCGTGTAGGACTTGTCACACATTTTGCACAGATATGGTTTGTCCGACGTGTGGACATGCATGTGTTTCTTTCTGTCGCTGCTGTTTGCAAATCTTCTGTCGCAGCCTTCAAACTCACACTGGAACGGTTTTTCTCCTGCAGAGGGCGGGGAATACAAAAACAACGAAAAACATGAGATCTTCAAATGAGAAAACGCCTCAGACTGCGTGCGTAAAAGCACAACAACCGTGCGTAAAAAGTTCAGAGGATGCGCTCAAACAAAATGTTTTTGAAACAACTCAACAAATCATATTAATGATTTTTAAGCTTTGAGCAACAACTAGGGTTTGGGGGGTAGGGTGCTATTTAGCCTAAAAATGCGCATAGTGATTTGGGGAGGGGGTGGGAGGGAAGGCCATCCTCAATGGGCCTTTTTACAGAAGGCATGCCATTTGCTTGGAGACAATAAAAATCTAATTAGCACATGATCAATTTCACTTCGGTGTTTCCCAAGAAAATAAAGCCCAAATGCGAAATGATGGTTCTGTCTGGCACCTCGGATCTTATCAGGAAGCACTCTAAGGGGAACGCTGGAGAAAACAAAAGGCTAAATCCACACGAACACACCGATTTATCGCGAGATAATAGTTTGATTAAACGCCAGATAAGAGGGAATAAAAACTAAATGGGAGCAGATTTATATGTCCGGTTCAGGAGAGGCCCGTTTAAAAGCCTCTAAGGGGATTTATTTAATTTTTACATTAGCAGATGAAAATACTCCCAGTGACAATAAATGCAGTCACGTGACTTTAAAAATTACTGTTAAATAAATAAATAGTTTTTTCCAGTCAGGCCTACCTGTGTGCGTTCTCTTGTGGATCTTCAAGTTTTCCGACCGCGCGAAGACCTTCCCACAGCCGGGGAAGGGACACGGAAACGGCTTCTCCCCCGTGTGCACCCGAATGTGGTTCACCAGTTTGTATTTTGCCTTGAACGGCTTGCTCTCCCGGGAGCAGTCCTCCCAGAAGCAGATGTGGTTGGTCTGCTCCGGTCCACCGACGTGCTCCACGGAGACGTGCGTCACCAGCTCGTGCATGGTGCTGAAAGTTTTGTTGCAACACTTCTTGGGGTTGCTGAGCTGCTCAGGGTCGATCCACTTACAGATGAGCTCCTGCTTGATGCACTGCTGCCTCATGTAGCGGAAGAAGGCACCGGGGTGGTGGTGGTGATGGTGGGCTGCCATGTTCATCCCCATGTTCATATTCATGGAGCCGTACTGGTTGTGGAGCTGCGCGGCCGAGTAGGGGTCGGTCCTCGGACTGGAGACCTGGTGGTACTGCTCGGAGCGGCCGAAAACTTCCCCCGGTAACCCGAGCCTCATCTGACCGTTCAGGACGTTGGGGGAGCCGTGGGAGCCGTGCTGGTCGTGGATCCCAGGAAAGAGGATGTGACTCTGAGTGTCTGTGTGGGAGTGATGAAGGGATCCCGCCGTGGGGCCAAAAATAGTGTGTTGGCTGCTCGCCGGAGAGGATTCTCCAAAGCCGCGGCTACGAAAGAGAAAGTCCCTGGTGGAGTTGAAAGGGGAGCTCGCGTACGCGTGAGCCCCCAGAGCCGCAGCGGGGTAGCCGGGCGCCTGGGTGGTGAAGGCAGAGCTCTGTCCCGGAGAGAGATCATGGTTCAGCTTAAACGCACCCATGTGTGCGGAGTCTACAAAGCTGTTCTGCGCCAAACTCAATTCTCTCTCCTGCATCTCGCTCGCTGAGTGATGCCTGGAGAAGGAGCCCACTCCCAGTCCGGGGAACTGGTGGCCAGCATCCAGCAGCATTGTTTCACAAGCGACTGTTTCTGTCTTTAAACCAGCACGAGGCTAAAATCTACAACGGGAACAAGATACAATCAAATCAGATGTTGGTGCTGGCAGGGAACGGTTCAACTTCCAGATTTGGAAACACCACATCTAGGCGCGACTTAAACCGCTTTTCCGCTCATTATTCAAAACAAAAAAGAACGAATTTAATTCTAGTTTGCTTTTAAAAATCCAAAGTGAAGAGTTTCCACCGGTCCTCTTCTTTTGCTGCCTTAAAAAGAGGAAAAATCTCAAAAATGTAAATTATTATCTTACTAGGAGTCTCCTGCGCACGCAGAGCATCTCAAAAAGCGCTGCGTTCCAGTTCGCTTCTCTGATAAGTGTGTGTGAGTGTGTGTGTTTGGTTTTTTTTATCGCGAAGGGTCCCTGTTTCTCCGTGGACTGGCTCTACCTCCTCTACCGCCCCCTTTAACTGGAGCCTGTTCATTCGTGCCTCGTGGTCTCATTGGCCACCGCGCCTCATCAATCCCAGGTGCCCCTCCAATCGCAGGTAGCGCTTTTTGGCGACTTAATAGCGCAACGCCATTTTGCTTCTCCTTCCACTAAACAATTACCGCCTACTTTTAGGTTGAGCTGACTTTTTTTTTCCTGGCCAGGCTTGGACGGATCGAGAGAGAGGAGAGAGTTGTTGTTGTCATTCTGTAGGCGCAGAAATCTGGTGCTTACGAGAAGATACGAGACATTCATTTAGGGAAATGATCTACTTTTTACGGAAATTTCTTTACAAATCAAACAAATGTTATAATTTGTAACTTTTTACGTTTTAAATATCACATTCCATAAATTGAGTATAAAATAAATGGATGAATATATGAATTTAGGCCAAATTGTAAACGTGTTCAGTGGAATAAGCTTCCATATGGAGTCCAGTGGCTTTTCCCTGCTTGTGGAGCAACCACAACAGGCCCACATTGGTTCCTCGCGTCGCTAATTTGTTCCCTTGGTGGTTTTCACATTCACCACACCAATAAAAATGCATGTCGTGGTGGTGAACAAGAGAAAATCCTCGTTATTTGACGTTTTACGCACGTTTTACATCATTTTGATGCAGCATACTGTTAGTTTAAGCATTCAAAATAAAACCACAGCCATGTTGTCGTCACGGTGTCTCGTTATTTCCAGGTATTATAAATACAGCCGATACCAAGCCACGATTCCTAAAATCTGCCTATTTCCCCCCTTTTTTGGCATATTTCCCTTACGCACTCCCTTAGTCTTAGTTGAAGTGGTTCATGTTCAAGTGGTTCCATCACAGCAGCTCATTCACTCTCAGACCAAAAAAAGTTTACTTACATTTTTCACCACATTTTAAAAATCCGCATGTGCCGTTCCAAAACGCACCAATCTACTGCGTCAGTTCTCCTCGTGCCACTCTGGGAGACAAATAATGCTGAATAGAGAGGAAAAGGTTTTTTAAAAACTTTTTTTTCTGGGGGATTGTCTCCTGGCTGAGGAGGGAGGAAGGAGGCTGTGTGCGCCATTCTCCCAAGTCTATTTCAGCCCGCGCCACAGGAAACGCAGGGAGCTGATCCAAGTTCAAAGTCAGTATGCCGACCCCCATAAGAAGTTCTTTATTTTTGTGGAAAACCACAGAACGTTCCCCAGATAGGGAGAGGAGAAAATGAAAACTCAAAGGAAGAATCCAGTCGAGGCTGGATTTCACCGCTGCTTAGAGAAAAGAGGAACATTGGGTTTGGTTTGGAGAAAATTCAGCCAGAGAGGAGTTTTCAACAGGTTTGGGAGGCTCGATGTGCACGTGCAGATGATAAATCCAGTGGAATATTCTTCAGGATCTGAAATAAGAGCTTGTGTGTGTGTGTGTGTGTGTGTGTGTGTGTGTGTGTGTGTGTGTGTGTGTGTATGTGTGTGTATGTGTGTGTGTGAGACAGAGAAGCCCATCAATAAAAGCAACAGCCTTGGTCGCATAAGGGCGCTGCGCCTGCGGATAATAACGCACGTCAGAAGCGTATTTCTTCTCGCTGTTATCTGACAGTATCAATATGTTGACACACTGGAAGGTTACTTGTGTGGCTTCCGTGACCTTGTGTTTCATGGATGTTTGACCTATGACCTTTTAAGACCACATACGCTGCCCTCTTGACTTCTTTTGGTTAAATAACCCAGTTTATGACAAAGCGGCTTTGTTTTAGAGGCAGTGACACGCGAATGCGCGCGTGCACACACACACACACGCTCACACACACACACACACACACACACACGCACACACACACACACACACACACACACACACACACACACACACACACACACACACACACACACAAAATAGTTGAATTATTTATTTGGACTATTAGTACAAATAGAAAAATAACTAATCATTAAAATATCAATGTGCAGACCCAAATAATTGTATGAATCTAAGTGGATCCAGCACTATAACCCAGTGAAGGCTGTCAGTGGGACGTTTTATGATCAGAATCCTGTTTTCAGACCAGTTCCATGCGCGCTTTTGCTCCAAATTTATTGTTGTGTTTAATTTTATGTGTATGAAACGAAGCACTTCAGAAGAAAAAAATAATAAACAATGCACCCACGGCTCCCGAGTGTTTTATGGGCTTTCAGAAGGGCTCTGGAGCTGGCCATGATTTATTTATGTTACTACAGTCCCGAAATAACTGCACCAACAGACGGGTGATGTCTCTGTTCATTTGAGGAGTGAAAATAGGAAGAACAGAAAACGTCAGATATTAACAGGAAACTGTATTTATTTATTTATTTATTTATTTATTTACTTGAATTTCTGCTACAGCACAACTTTCACCTTAACTACTTAAATGTCTTAGCCCTGCAGCCGTAGCTAATGGCACTTCCGTCCTTGAGGTGATGAAAGTCAACAATCTACATCTGAGAGGGAAATACACTGTGGGGCTTTTATGTCATTACCAGCTGAAATTCTAACATGTGGTCTGAACACAGTCAGGATGTGCGCATTTAATGTGAATTAGCACAAATTTCACTTAATGTAAAAACAATGAATTCATCTCTTTTTCATGTTTTACGGTAAATTAATTATCATGGGAATAAAAATACAGTTTCAGTAAAAGCTTTGTGTTTATTAAGCGGTGGAAAGTGGCAAAATAATAATTAGACAACAAATGGAAACAAAATATATTTTTATTTAAATTCTAAATTAAAAAATCCAAAAAAAAAATTTTCTCTTGTTTTATGCTTTCCAAAAATAAATGCAACCTATCTAGATGAATGCAAGATACGATTTTATGAAATTCATTTTAAAAAATCTAACATTTAGGATTAAGTGTCAGAGTGTAAAAAGGTAAAAACAAAACTACATTTGTGCATTTTTATTTATTTTATGTCATTAATGAAAATTAAATTTATAATTATCTTTAAAAATGTTCACATATAAAATTTTATCTTTGTAGTTCGTCTTGGTCTTTTTAAATATATATTTGAAATATTTTTCTTTGCATTTAAAGCTGCAAAACCATATTAATCCGTACACCATTTCACTAAAACTTTATCCATTAAAAAACCTTTTTATATTTTTTCATGTTTTACACTCCAGCATTTTATTGAACTACATTTTAATTATCCATATTATAACAGTTGTTATTTTAAACGCGTTTTCCTGCTAAACGGGCGTTTGGAGGGAACCAGAACCAGACCAGCACTTGTCGCATAAACTAGTATTTTGTTCCTCACGCGCACCAGCGCCAGTAAACAGATCCACTGGTAACTTTGCGAGTACAACTTTTTGGTGTCAGCAGCGTTAAAGAGAGTGAGGGGGCGGAACCCTGCTGAGCCCCTGCGCTGAACGACAGCCAATCGCTTCGTTCTCCTAACTGCCAGTCACCGAAATCCGTCCAATACCCGCAGTGCCATTTCTAAACTGTATTCCCCACTGCGTCCTCCAACTGTTGTATGTTCTGCCAATCGCTTGAGGACAGAGTGGGGAAAGGAGCAAGCAGAGTTAGAAGCCGGACAAAAGAACTTATAGAGCCCTTATGTACACATTTTGCTGATGTTTTAGAGCGCGCGGTGTGGTGAGAAACTATCGCTGAGCTCGGATGGACTTGTCTGTGTAGTTATGGAACCCCCTTTAAGCAAGAGGAACCCGGCGATAAGATTAGCGGATTTGGCTGCAACTCAACCCCTTCCTCATCAGAATATGACAGGCTTCCCGGGGCTAGGGGGGCATCACCCTCTTTCCCACCATGCCCACCTCCACCCTGGGGAGCTGGGCAACGACCCTGGAGTGGCACTCACTCCATTTGGACCAGAGCACATGGCACAGACAAATGCTCTCAAACTTAGCCCATCTCAGCACATTCAGAGCCATCCCGAAGCCCAGACCGCGGCATCTTTCACTTCAGCTCAGACCACAGTTGGTTTCCCCGTGGCTCACCCCCACTCAGGCTACTCAAGCAGCAGGGACTTCATCCTCAGGAGAGAACTCTCAGCCTCTGCTATGCATGCACTTGGCGACCAGCATAGTTCCGCCTCCTCCCCTCATCACCATGGCATGTTCATTTCGCCAACAGGTGCTTATGGGCACGCGGAAAGTGGGGCCCATTCACTTTTCACCGGACTTCACGACCAGGCGTCCCCAGGTGCCCACCACCATGGCCTCAACGGGCAGATGCGCCTGGGTATACCGGGGGACATCTACGGCAGGCCAGAGCACTTTGGGCACAGGCCGGAGCACTATGGACCATCCTCTCTCCACAGCTACAACTCCATGAACCTCAATGTGAACATCGCTTCTGCTCCTCACGGAGCCGCGGGGGCGTTTTTGAGATACATGCGGCAGCCCATCAAGCAGGAGCTCATCTGCAAGTGGATCGAGCAGGAGCAGAGTCAGAAAAAGCCCTGCTCGAAAACTTACAGCACCATGCACGAGCTGGTCAACCACGTCACGGTGGAGCACGTCGGGGGACCGGAGCAGAGCACCCACGTCTGCTTCTGGGAGGAATGTCCGCGGGAGGGGAAGGCGTTTAAAGCGAAGTACAAACTGATCAACCACATCCGAGTTCACACCGGAGAAAAGCCCTTCCCGTGTCCATTCCCGGGATGCGGAAAAGTGTTCGCTCGGTCGGAGAATCTCAAGATCCACAAGAGAACTCACACAGGTTAGTGCCGTCTCGACTGGGTTACACGCTGCCGCTCGATCTCCAAGCGCAATAGATTAAACGCGATCTTGTTTTTTCCTCTTCACAATCTAACAATCTTAACACCGAGCTCGTGCGTAATGACGCACGGATTGAATAAAAATTTAACTGACGATTTCTACAACGTTTTTATAAATGTAAACGTTATTCCTCATCCACATGCCTGCAGTAGGCGTGAAAAAATTAGAGCACACGATTTGTAAAACGTGCTTACGTACACACTACTCCACGCGTAAATAACAGTCCTCAGGCGTAGTAGTACGTTTACGCAAAGGCACGGTCCAGACAGTGAGGAGGTCAGGAGTTGATACAAGTTTTCTTAATGAATGCAATTATTTAATGTGCTTTCATCAGGTCCGGATGTTTGTATTAATTAGACATTTTAGAAGAAACATGATAAACTTTCACATGTGAACTTGTAACGCTCCCATCTGATATCAGGTACCTGTTGTTGATCCTAATGATTTATGGCCCAGTTAAAGCGATCTAACAGGAGGTTCATTCTAGACTTCCGCCACTAACTAGGCCTCTCCTCTATAATGAGTCATCCAAATCCCAGAAGGGATAAATCATCGTCCAACATAGCAAGTTTCTGTCAAGTTCAGGTGATGATGATGATGATGATTATTATTATTATTATTATTATTATTAATTATTAATATTATGATGTGTGTGTGAGTTGTGATGCTGCTGCAGAGCGTCTCCTGGTGGTCTCCTCAGTCAACCCCCCCTTCTCTACACATGTATGTAAACCAGACGGCCAGGAGGCTTCCTCCACGTGTTCACACAGAAATGTGCTTTAGGATAAGTGGGCGTGAAGCTGTGCATCAGGTGCGCGCGCTCCGATGAAAACGTGCCCAAACCAAAGAGAAACTGAAACTTCCCTGGTGTTTATTTTGCGTTTCAGTGGCTCCAAACTTCCTCCTCTGTGATTTATTGAAACGAAGGGCACTTCGACACTGCTTCCTGTCCACGTGACACTGACTATCTGTTTCTGACAGGAGAGAAGCCCTTCAAGTGCGAGTTCGACGGCTGCGACCGTAAATTCGCCAACAGCAGCGACCGGAAGAAGCACTCCCACGTCCACACCAGCGACAAGCCTTACTACTGCAAAGTGCGCGGCTGTGACAAGTCCTACACTCACCCGAGCTCGCTGCGGAAACACATGAAGGTGCACTGCAAGTCCCCGCCACCCCCCTCCACCAACCTCACCTACATCTCCCCCACGAACCCCCTGGGGGACCCAATGTCCCCGACTTCCGAGGCACTCAGGAACCGCTCGGCGAACCTCTCGCCTCAGGTCACCAACCTGAACGAGTGGTACGTGTGCCAGGGCAGCGCGGGGCCCAATCACCTCCACACCCCCTCCAGCGACGTGCCAACGTCAGACTCGGACGACGAAGACTCTTACAGGAACTCAGACCAGAGGACGATGCTCTGATGCCCACCAGTCAAACGTGACCCTTTTCAGTTTGAAGCTACAAGGACCCACTCAAAATCAGCAGAACAAAGATGGGGTGGGTGGGATGTGGGTTTAACTCCACCAGCAAGAACATTTCGATCCAAACCACAACTTGATCTGACTGGAACATTTGCCACATTATTTATTTCTAAGGATTTATACACAGGGTTAAGAAAATGAATTAGGACTCATCTTGTTGCAGTTAATAACAAAACTAATCAATCACTGTCAGGTGTGGGGGGAAGGTCACAGAGGTGGCAACAAAATCTAAAAGAGGCCTTTAAGAAGGGTTTAGTACAAAAAGGAGTGAAAAAAATCCGAGTGTCTTAAGGCTTCACTATTTTCCAGATTTATAAACTACGTGCACCTGGGTGGAATTTTGTAATATTTATTTAAGACTGTATTTTATGCAAAGCTACACAAGTGTACTGCTTGTTAAATGATTCCTTTACGTCCCAGGAGACACTAAAGTCTCCACCACAGGCTGTTGTTTTTTTTTTAAATTTTGTGTATATATGTAATTGTTCTGATGCTTGTGAATGTTGTGTAGTTTTAATCGCAAAGGAAATTTGTTTTGTACATTGTAATTTATTTTCTGGTATCAGTGTTGTTACAGAAACACCAAAGAATATTAATAATAATAATATTAATAATAATATGAGTTTTGGTGATGTGTAGAGCCCTGCTGATATTCTCTTTTTTTAAACTCTTGGTTTATTTTTATTTGTGCTCTGTAAAAAGAAGAAAGGAAAACATCTACTTGAATAGGCTGTGTAATGTGAAAAGTCCCTTTTTTTATTTCTCGCATGCCTTTTTGTAGTGATTTGTCTTTCACATGGAGGTGCATGGTGCCACTGGACATTATGGATTTATAAAAAAAGAAAAGCGAGAGAGATGAATCAGCCTTTGATGTTCAAGATTTCATTAAAAAAATAAAATTCATCCTGATATTTAATTAAAAAAAGTCAGAATTCAGTCAGTGAGTCATTTTAAAATAATAAAATTAGGAGTTTTATTTAAATATTTTAAAACGTAAGCTGCTGCTTGTGATTTTATGTATTTATTCCTTTTGTTTTGGCATAATAATTGCTGGGAGGTTGCACCTCTCATGTCAAACAGTGTGCAGCTTGATTCTGGACTGTAAATAAGAATCAACAAATCAGCTCACAACTTGGAGTTGACTCGTGTTCTCTTGCCATCTCTGACATTTCTATCAAACATTCGCAGTTCCCAGAAAACAGGCCCCAGAAGAAACTAATCACTGAGCTAATGGGAAAACTTATAGCCCCCTGATGGCTCTACCTCCTGAAAAGCTGCGACGACACAAAGCAGCAGAGGCATGAATCATTCATGGGAAAAATAAAAGATAAAAAGATATCTGACAATAAGCAAAGCCTTGTACTATAGAGTGTATTAAGGAGGGGGGGGTCCCCCTCTTATTTCCTCCATTAAAACGCAGAATCTCACTTTCAAAGAGTTGCCTGTCCAGTCTATAGAATTAAAATTGACCAACGCCGCAGTTCTGCACTACTTCAAAGGGCTGCAGCTTCTGAGAGGAAGGCTTTGACAGTCTTCATGGTGCGTTAGGATTTCTATGGCAATTCGTGCGGTGAGACAGTCTCATTTGAATATGTCCGGTTGCTCTAACTGCCACTAAATGAACCAAAAATCAAAGCAGGAGATGGGATTGTCTGTGCAAACACACCGACAGCTATGCACGCGCTCATATGGGAATCTGGATGAAAGACAAAACAAATACTGTTTTATTCCCTTAAATTTGTGAATGAATCGTTAGAAATAATCAATTTTTTAAAGAATATTAATAAAAAAATGCCCAACCAGTGAATAACATTCTCCTTCTATACCATTATATGTTTATAAACGCCTTTTAACCCCTTCAGAGCCGCTGCTTTATTCAGGGCTCCTCGTTTTTGGACCTTTACAGCCTCCTCTTGTCGCTCCTGTTTAGAAACAAGCGCAAAATCAACACGATGAAAAATCACCAAAGACAGCGTTGCATTTAGAGGAAAGAAGGGGGGGGGGGGGGCGGCTGTTAATAAAAAGGAGTGAAGCAGTCACCCTTCAGTGAGAAACGCTTTGAAGTCGAACTTATTATCTGAGGAATACTTTTTGGTTGTCCTAACGACGCAGCTGAATGGGAAAGGCTCTCCTTTGTCAGCGATTTGTTCTCCTTTAGTGGGATGTCCGTGAAAATCACTTACATGGGCCACCTTAACATATACTGCCTGCAAATCAGTAACTGGCAAGAGTCAGACATGCAGACGCCACTTTGGGGAGGACAAAGGAGAAGAAAAGTGCCAGTGAGAAACGTCGCTGCCTCTCAATTGCGCCCGTTTAAAGGCTCCAGCGGTAATTTCTCAGACGAGCGTGGAACCCAAAACAAATGCGGGCTTGTCAGACTTTACAAGCGTCATCCGTCTCCGGAACGCTGCTGGCGCGCACGCGCGTGCACACGCAAGGCAGGAGAGGTGATCACGATGGTCACAAAAAGTTAAGGACTATATGTTAAATAAATAAATAAACAATAAAATGAAACGAGCATCTGATCCGCGCTGGTGCGTCATGACGAAAATTTGCACCGTTTAACACCAAGTGTTTGTTGAAGGAAGAGGAATGAGTGTGTTTTTTATGAGGCAAATGTAAAGATCAAACAAAATTTACTTTTTTTTTCCTCATGGGAAAAAAGGGGCGAGGGTGTCGCGAGGCAGCCTCTTCACACCAACCGTTCCACCTTTCGGATCAGAAAACACCTCGATCCGTTTTACACCCAAATCACACTTTTTTCTCCTGATCCCATGATGAGTGAAAACTAACAAAATGAGTGATAAACGAAAGTCAAGACCCCTGAAGTGGAAAATATACGAATGTTTCCTCTGCTGCTATTTTTATCCCAGCTGAAATATCTCTCACCTTTCTGGAAAAACTTTCAAATCCGCGGAGAGATTTAATCAAACACCCCCAAAACGCTATCTTTAGTTCCGGAATGATTAAATTGCGCACCTTTGGCACCTGTTTTGTTCTCACCCTAAACTGTGACCTCCTTCAGATTTTCTTTTTCTCACAAACAGTTTTTTCTCTTCATGACACATTTGCATTCCAGGCGTTTTGCCAACTTTTTCCTTCTTTTCAAAGCTCCTCTACCTGGTCGCTGTCTAAAGTTTCATGAGGAAGTCAGGAAACAAGGCGGCACAGTTGCGCTCACATCCCTCCAAAAGGCTCCAAAGAAGTGCACATTTCAAACTGATCCGCAAACATTTGGTTGATTTTTGGGGTAATTGAAGTTGAATGCTTAAATGAAAAGTTAGATTGCGGTTTTTAGGGGACCTGAAGACTCTTTGACCTGTTTTCCACTCCTCCTGGCTGTCCGATGCGTCCAGGCGGAACGTAACAACTTCAGCAGCTGTAGTTTCACCTTTTAGCCCCGACGTGGTTCCCAGAGGAGCGCAGGAGTTACAAAAGCCTCCTAAGGAGGAGGAGAGGTTTACTGCTGACCTTCTTTCATAAAACTTCACTAAAACACGTTCATATTTTCATTTATTTAAACTTTAAAAAATGAACCCCAAAAACACAAACGAAAGAATCAAATTAAACACATAAGTCTCCATCTTATTCACACACTAAACTTAATAAAAATTTGAAAAATATAATTAAAATGAATCTAAAATGTAAACAAAATTTCATGATTTTTTTAAATAAATAATTATGTATTTATTGTTATACATTTAACCCAAACGAATAAAAGATGCAAATCCAAATTTTATGTTTTTCTTGATTTAAATATTAAGCAGCTAATTTTATGTCCAGTGAAGGAAAATCGTGCAAATATCATTTAAAAAACAATAACAAGTGTTAGATAGTTTTAATTGTTTTTATCCACCTGTGTGTCAGAAAATAACTTAAAGATTAAACATTTCCTAAAATTCTTTTTGTTTTAATTAAATTTTCTGTAGCAAAGACAAAAAACTGGACAAAATGTCTTTAAATATAGAAAATTGCTTTATATGAAAGCAACTCCAACAGCCATCAAACGTGCACTGTTAAACTGTTAAAGTCCTTATTTTATTTCTAAGCTTTCATCATTATAATCTCTGATGTTATGGACCAAAACTTTCCTAAAAACACACTCATCCCATAAGATTTCTATGATTTCTCTCGGGCATGAGTACATCAGTCAGGTACTGACATCATATCTGGTGGCTCTGTAACATCTGTGGGGGTAGAGACTTGGTGCTGATCCAAAGCCCCATCCCAGGACTGGGAGCCACTCCAAGGCAGTAGGTGAGGGGAGCAAGGTCGTCCACGGACAAGCGCACGAGCCAGGCCCTGCGTTACCTGGCCTGTTATCCGACCCGCCGGCCAGAAAGTAGGAACTAAAGTGCAGATAAGCGTGAGCATGCTGCCTCAGTAGTGTCTTACTGAATGACAAGGCTTTCCTAAAAGCCTCTAAATGCAGGATGTGGGCTTCAGTAGGGATGTGCAGGTGCAGAGGCATGGGGAACGACTCAGTCTGAGTGAAGCAGATGCACCACTTCATACTGGGCATCACTTTGTGTGACGCTTCCTAATTTTAAAAGCAAAAACAGATCATTGGAGATCAAGAGGAGTACCTGACAGCAACTAACTTTCCTTCTGCACACTCCGCCTCTTCATAAATAAAGGATTACGTTCACCGTCATGGTCCCTGATAATCAAATTCAAATCCGCATGTCTCTCCTTTTCTTCTCCTTCTCATATCTTCAAACCTATCTTTGGTTGAGCAAAATTATTTCAGAGCGCAGACGTGATTCCACCCCCATCTCCTTTGCCTTCTTGTTCTCGTCCCTCTTCATTGTGGACAAAGATTGGTATCAGAGGCAGATTTGGGCAGAACTATCATGGCTGCAACATCAGAGGGCTGGCCCTGAATGCATCTGGTTTTATTGCAGAAAAGGTCAGCAACTAGAGGGGAGAAATCCCTCAAACACAGCTGGGAAGGGGGGAGAAAAGGGGGAGAAAAGGGGCGTCCGTGTTGGGAGCCAGGGAGGGGACGAGAAAAGAATTACATCCTGATAAAGAGAGGGAACATGGGCGAGGTGAAGTCGAGCATTAGTCCTGTTAATAAAAGAAAGACAAGGGGGCATTTGTGCCAGCAACAGATAACGGAACTGCAAACATTTGGCGTTCCACATTGTTGAACCACATGCTCATCTTCAGCAAACTGGTGAAGTTGATCACCGATCAGTTTCCAGGCTCGCTGTAGGAGCTCTAATCCGATGTGATAAGCCAGAACAGTGACGGTAAAGCGCCCAGCGCGGAGACGCTGCTGCCTCTTCCTCCATGGTGTGCCAGGACCTCCCTCTGACTTCATGGAGATGTCTGCGTGGATCCCAAACATCACAAGCTTCAAGCCCATTCGCGTTAGCAGACTTGGGCTGGAGCGATACGGGCTCTGAATGGCCAGGAGAAAATGTGGCGTCTTGATGTTTCCTATGGGATTAGCCAGAAAGGAAATATGGCTGGATGGGCAGCAAGATTGAGATATGGGGGGCTCCATTTGACCCCGAGCTTCAAAGAAATGCAGTTTTGGTCTGGTGAGGCCCCTGATGAGGTTTAAGGCAGAAACGATGGAAAACCAAGATGACCTATGGTATCACAGGCGTCTCCTGACATGTCCTCCGCCACTTCCTGTTGGTGTTGGAGCTTAAGCCTCCACCTGACATAAGGCAGTGAAGATACTGATGACAGCCGTAATGTGTCTGGTCGTCCCACAGGACATCTTGCTTCTGGACTGTCCCAATCACAAGACTAATTGTATAATTAGGGCAGCTCCATGGGGACGGCGACCTCTCGGCCCTTTTGCAGACACTTGTCATAGTAGATGACAAAATATCACAGAATCTTAGCGGTGCTAAAGGAGAGCGGCTCCATTAGCATGACGGATGGTTTAAACCCAGCACCTGTGTGTTTTAGCAACATTGTGAATTCCTTTCAGCAGGAGACCTAAAAGGGATGTTTTCCTGTCATGAGTAAATAAAAAAAATCACGCAACACTCACAAATTCCCTGGGCGGTTCTCAAAACAGCTTGAAAGTTTGAGAATCATCATTATCTTCATCAAAACTTGGAGCAGCTTATATTTGGGGTTGGGGTATCAGGAGGGGGAGAAGGTGTTCTGAGACCATGGTGAGGTTAGGGGACTCCTCCATCCAGGAGGCCCCCATAGGTGCCCTCATTAAGTGCGCCCCTGTTGCACCAAGCAGAGAGGAGGGGTGCGACTCCTCTCACCTGGCCTCTGTCCGTCTGTCACAGCTCCTGTTGAGAAAATCCTCCATCTGAATGATAATGAGCACCATACCCAGGAAAATGATGCTAATTGCGCGTCAGAGTCCAAACCTCAAGAAAAAGTCACAGAAACCAGCTGAATCATCAGTTACGCAAACTAAACATTTATTTATAAGAAAGTTTGTCCAAACTTCCCCGCACACTGTGGCCAGATTCAAAGGGCAAGCGGCGCGTCATTAACCACATCCCCGTTAACTTCAGATCCCCTCCGAGTCTCCAGAGCGGATTAATACCAATTACCTGTCATTTATTTTGCAGCGCATCTCACTCGGAGGCAATTTTGGTGCGTAAAACGCGCAAAGTTTACATACATTTAGAGTGTTTTAAACGTATTACTGAATATTTTTGTTACTCATTTGCTGAAAAAAGTTTTTAAAAAGTTTGTCGGAATACAAAGGATGCGGTTCATTTTTAAACGTAACCTAAATCCTAATCTGGCGGTTTGGATTACAAACCGGGTTGAACGTTAAACAAGATCATGACGTTTTTATTTATTGTCCGTTCTGACAGAACCTAGAATCAGAACGCAAAGATCCAAATGAAAGGGACTGAAGCCGGTGGTACAGGACAAAGAGAACACTATCCAACTGGAGGACCAATAAGGGCTTTCTTTCACATTTCAATCACTCCTGCTCGTGCTTCGGGATTAAGAGAGGGCTCTTGACTCTCTTTCACACAAAACCAAGAGTGCTTGTCAGCAACTTGAAGGAGAGAAAAGGGAGGAGAAGAATGGTCCGGGGTTATCGTGTTTAATTGGATTAGATGGTGTCATGTCGGAGCGCAAAAACAAAGCTAGAAGGCATCACGTCCGGAAGAAACACGCGTTTAGACGTTTATAGAATAAATATACATATAATTTAACCCGTTTAATCTCAGTTGTCATGTGAGTGCGTAACGTGGAACGCGCTGAGGATAAGAAACATGATGTTTGTAGTGATGGCTGTGCGTCAAGCGGCGGCGGCGATTAAAAGGTGCACGCAGCTGTGCGTGCAGGTGCGCGGCCTGCACCTGCTCAGACACACACACACAGACAGACAGAGAGAAAGAGAGAGAGAGAGAGAGAGAGAGAGAGAGAGAGAGAGAGACGATTAGATTCAGAAACATTTTAATAGCTGTTTATTCAGATTAAAACATGCAAAATATTATCGAAGTAAACTGACCAAGATCTGAACGGAATGGTGTAGAGATCTCGTGGATTAAATCTTCTCGTTTGATGGTGAACATCAGCTGCTGATTCGCAGCACTTTTCTTCTTTAAAACATCACGTGTGTTGAAATAAATAAATAAAACCTGCAAAGCTGCATGGAGCCGCTGTGAAAGCTTTTAGGATGCTCAGCAGAGCAGGATCACACGCACGCACGCACGCACACACACACACACACACACACACACACACACACACACACACACACACACACACACACACACGTGAACGTTTATATTACTTGTAATCATCATATACTTTCATTATTTTTGCAACAGCGTGCATGGTGCGTTCAGGGACAGCCAGCATTAGACCATTTGGAGTCCACATTTTGATCCAGGTGAGATTATTAATAAACGCTTGGGTTAAATCTAAGATCAAATTGTGACTAAATGCATTTTAGTTTAGTAAATCAGCACATTTCATAAATATTTATGCATATCTGCAATATTCTGGTGGTTAAAACCACTTCAGGATGCTGGAAACATTATTGCTAATAAATGAAGAATTCCATAAACTTTTAGAGACTTTGGTCTCATTTTGCCAACCTCCCCTCCTCCTCTTCTTCCTCTTCCTCACTCTTGGCAACAGCAGACAAAGCGGGCGGGTTTAGTGGTCTCCGTCGGGCCGCACAGCCTTTGATCTGGGCCCGTTAAGAAGAAAGAAAGAGAGAAGGGGAGCCAGGCTGTGGAGATAGGTATATTATTTCATTTTAAATAAAAAATGTCAAGAATCAAATTAAGTGAAACGGTTGACCCTGTTTTTGTTTAGGGTAAATCGCATAAAAGTGCAGCCATTTCTTCCTAAACATCCTTTTTTTCTTGAGGATCATTTTGGACTGAAGGCCTTTGTGGAGCAGAAGAGGAGCTATTGGTGTGTTTAAACACACACATCCCCGCCCATCAGTGTTAGATCAGACCTTAAAGCAGGTGGGTTGACTCTACACTACACCTGCATTACACATGGAAAATACATATTTAATTAGCTCTAATCTGGTTAATAAAGTTTACATTTCTGCGCCGACAGATAACGGAAGTCATTGATGATCTACATTTTGAACAAAACCACTAAACAAATAAATAAATGATGTGATTATGTTACTAAACTACAAAGACATTTTAAATTATTCGCACTGTTCCTTTAATGTGATTGTTTTATCTGAATAACTCACCTCACCTCCATGTAAACGCTTATTATTATTATTATTATTAAAGGGGTAATTGATAAAGAAAATAAAAGCATGATCAGCCCGAGGGGGTTAGAGCTGCTGTCCCACTTTCCTTATTCATTTCCTTCTATGAATCCCAACAACATTCCTGAAAACGGAAACGCTTAATTATCCGTTTCATCCCGATCTGAGGCCACTCCTCTCCCAAACTGCGCAGCAGCCGCAATAACAGCGCGTTTTATTGCTGCAGAATCATCTTTTCGCCGCAATTAGTTTGTCATATATTGTCATTAGAAGTCTATTAAAACATCAAGTCATTATTGGAGCATCCCCGGGCGGGGAATTAGAATCAAACCCACTCTGCCCACACGGGTCCCATTTAGATTAATGGAAAAATATGTAAAACATTTCGTTTTAATTTTCCTCCGACGGTGTTTTGCATACATGCATTCTCCCCGCCTGCGCCGTCCCTCATTATTTATGAAAGCAATCACGAAGCGCAAACACATTACCGGGGCTGTGAAACGCCGCTCGCAGCCTAATTGATTCCCGTCACTACTTTTTTTTTTTTTTGTTGAGGTTATAATCGTGTTAATTGTAATTTAATCTCTCGGGGAATATACCGGATATATGTGTTTAAATAAAACTGCAGCGCTGAAGACATTTTATTCTTAAGATTGAAATTTCATGCAGGTTTACACAATGATGCTGAAATGATTATTTCGGTTTATTTGAAGCAGATTTAATTGTTGAAGGAGGAAATGAGCAGATTTAAAACAACTGCATTAGGTTTTTGTCAAATTTTATGAATAAAAAAATGAGATGGAGCAGAAATCTGAGCTCCCAAAAGGTTAGAATATTTAGTTAAAGTATAAAAAGCTCAAATAATTCCCTTTTGGTTGGTCCCTGGAATTCTCAGAGGGGTTGGAGGGACACCTGTTGGTGCAGAGACAAGTTGTCCCGTCCAAAGTCTCTGTCGTGCTTAGTTGGGACTCTCTGTGTATCCATGTGAAACATGCACCCAAAGCATCTTTTAACGCTTTATGCTAAAATAAATAAATAAATAAATAAAATCAACCACCACATAGAAATGATTTCTGTTTTTAATTGCAACATTTTCCATTGTAACAAAATACACATTTGTTTTTGTAATTTTATAACCAATAAACGACAAAATATGTTTGATTGTCAATATGAATGTTTTAAATTGTGGTTATGATTTATTCCATTGTGTTTAATTAGTGAAACAAACATGCTGTGTCCATGTGATCCAAGGCTGACAGACATACGTGGCCGGATGCCAAAGAGTCGGCTTACTGACGGGGTGTTTGGCCGGACGCTGGAGTGGCTTCTGTCTTTTTTTGTGTCTGGCCCGGCCTGGCACCGACACCAGCTCTGCCCCAGACACAATACGTCATACGGCAAGAGAGAAAAAGGGAGAGACGAGTGGATGAGGTGGGGCAGAAAGGAGGTATGGTGCCTTTCATTACCATGGTCACCAACGGCACTATTAACCATTCAACACCCCCCCAATTATCCTCCCATCCGCAGTCAGAGAGACAAAGCCTCGGTCCTGGTCTGCTGGAGCAACATGGCCACTAATCTGTCTCATTCGAGCATCACACCCACTTCACACGCAGTCTCAGCGAGCCGGACGTGGACAAGCGCTCTACAAAGACCCCTTTTGTACTTTCATTTGTGACTTCTTTGCTCAACTCGTCCTGGAGTTCATTTTCGGAGTTCAACTGTTGACTGAATACCTTTGGAAAAAAAAACATCTACTGTTTTCCATCCAGCCTGCGATGCTCCTGAGCAGTTTGTTTAACTCAGGTGTGAGACAAGAAATAAAAATTGTGTAAAATTAAAATACTGCACAACAACTAAAGTAAATTACAGTTTCCACTGGCTCGTATGCGGCAGCGGGACTTGGTTTATGAAGTTTGTCTTCAGGCTCCTTTCACTAGGTTTTGGTGTTCTGGTGCCTCCATGTTCCTCCTCAAAGCCCGTGTTACTCCTGTGGCATCGCGTCAGCAAGCGTCACAATGTTTTGAGCCTGCTTCAGCGAGGGCAAGTCGATCATGCTGCCGCGGAAGGTGAACGCACCCTGAAGAGTTTTGAGGAAAAAAGAGACATAGCATCAAAACTGCAGGAGAAAAGGGATGCTGTTCTGGAAACAACATAAAAATCTAATCAAGAGGAGTGAAAACTCTACCTGGTGGTTAGAAAGTTGCACAAGAAGAGAAATTCAAGCTTTTTCACAGAAAAAGACACACACACACACACACACACACACACACACACACACACACACACACACACACACACACACACACACACACAGGCAGGCAGTCGGTGGCTGAGGAAGCTACGAGTCCCGCGGGCGATGCCCTGGCAGGGAGAGAGGTGTGGGCAGATTGTGTATTACCTCAGCAGATAGCCCACAGAGCTCAACACACAGGATCCAACCATGCACTAAATTAGGGACAATAATATTGTACACTTAATTGGCCCAACTCCTCAACCCCCACTCCCTGTGTCCTGAGCCATCTCTGAGTCACCCAGGGGTGTACAGTTTGTATTCTTCTGAGCTGCGGAGGTGTGTGAGCGGGTCAACACAAAGGACCAGACCGAGCATTAAAGCAGAGAAACACCCGTGTCATCGCGGTGCACGGGGCAGCAGGGAGACTCATTCACACTGGCGCGGGGAGGTTTGTGCACTGTAAAAAGGTTATTCTGCATCAGTCAGACAAAGTCTTGGTGGAGTTTATGTAAAAAAACAAACAAAAACACTTCTTAACCTAGAAGTTAATCCAGGGTGACTACCCGCAAACTAACTAAAAAAACAATTTCACAACTTTAATGTTAAAAAAATACCTAAATTCAGGCAAACCAGCTTAAACGCCCTCCAGATATGAATCCATGGATCGTGCTCAAAGATAAGAGTTTACTGAATGAAACGCCTTCTATTTGTTTCAATTCAAAATATAAATGAAAACAAGTAAAATTAAAGTTTCTGGTCTATAACTGCGATCACTCCGGCAAGGCCCGCACAGGTTGTTCCACTTGGATTAGCTCCATGAAGCACTGGTTGTTTCCCAGTTGTCACTGTAGCCACTCTCCTCTCCTACATTATTTATAAATGAGTCAACAGAAACATTTTCTTAAATAATGACAGAATGACTTTCCTGATATTGACCTGGAAGTAAAACGGTGACAGATTCCCTCCATGTGTGTCCAGTCTGACTGAAATCTAACCTGCCTACAAACTTCTTCACAACCACGGGAAACTGAAATTGTCTTTTCAAATGATGTAAAAAAGTTGCACAGTCCAAAACAATGCTAACCTCTGTTCACCACAGGCTAAACTATGAAAACATTTAAAATTTGGCTCAGATGCTGAAACCATCCTTCATAAACATAAATGTTTCCCATGAATTGGACCATTTTTACACATTTTATAATTAATTGAATTAAACGTAACCAGATTTTTTATTTAAAACAACCGTCCCGTTAGCATGAAGGTTCACACAACAGTGGGGTTTTTGCATCAACACATGGTACGTGTGAATTATTATTTTCCACTTAAAATTAAGTTAGCATAAGCAGCTGCTACAGCTGCTTGAAAGCTGTATTCTTGCATATAATTATAACATAATACAATCATTAACTCGCTTGTTAAACTGCGTTTTGTCCAAATGAGGGAATGTGGAAAAGTAGGTTAAATAAAACAATCAAGTTCAAAAGTAAAATTTTAATATCTAAAATAAAGAAATAAAAACAGAGCTGAGTGTTTCATAATTCATGCACGAGAGTCCTAAAGCAGCCCTCATATTGATATATTTAAGTTGAAACAATTTGTTTGTTTTTACAGTGCATCTTATTGTTGTTATTTCTATAACAGAATTATTTGAAAGGTGAATAAAAATAAACTTAGAAACTCCGAAATGATTTAGAATCCTAAACTTTTGTTACCTTTCCTTCTTTCTGATGTTGATCAAAAGCAGCAATGAGCTCTTTGGCCCACTGGACCCTCTCCTGACTGGGGGAGAACTCTTCCTGAACAGGCTGGATCTGCCACGGATGAATCACCTGCTTACCTGAACGAGAAAAACACCCAAATTTATCGTAAAGAATCATTTTTCTCTTTAATAAATCCAAAAAAATCAGATTTCTCTCTCTTTTTTTTTTTTTTTTTTTTTCTTCTGGCACTAAACTAGTACTAGCAGAGTGTCACTATTTAAGTACACCTCCGACAGAACGGTTGAACCCAGTTGAAACCTGATGGGAGTGTACTCAAGTCTGGTCACAATGATGGATGAATAGCAAGTTACCTACAAAAATCCCTCAGAAAATAACTGAAGAGCTAATACAGAAGCCTAAGACGACGTAATGGCTGACACAACCTCACACATACCCCCCCCCTCCGGTTAAATGTGGATGAACGCCGCAGACATAATCCCGTGTACATTCATGGATCAAACTTGTAGTGATAAAGTTAAGGTTATGAAATGTCTGGCGAGAACATCGGCTCAGCGGCAGCCAGCAGGAACTCGACACTTTAGGGCTTAGCTCTGTCGCCAGCAACAAATCCTTCAAGGTGGCCAAGCGGGCGGGCTGCAAAATAGCCCAAGAAAGGGGAGTAGGGGGAAGAAAGATGGGGAGGGAGGGAGGAGGAGAACCCACTCCCTCTGTCCAGCTCTGCTCACCCTAGTTAACCTCAGAAAACACACACAGTCACAAATAACACACATCACAATCAGTGATTAAAAGCTCGAGCAATTACTCACGAGCAAATATGACTCATTAACCAACAGTTTATTTATTTATAATATTAATTTGCAGGCTTTTGTGAATTTGTTGATCAGCGTGTGGCAAAAAAAAACACCAAATAAAAGCATACGGCGACTCTACAGCCACTAAATATGAGTACGAGGACACTTTTTGATGCTTTTGAGCCTCGTGTGACACCAGAACCACAAAAATATAAAAAATTAAATGCCTAAATACATTACCTTGCTGTGTATTTACAGTATGTCTGTTTATGTCAGATGTGTGTGTGGGTGTGTGTGTGTAGAAGATGGAGGTTTGAAGGAGTGAACTGGGCGACTCTGGTGCCCTCAGTTATAATCCATTGGCTACTCAAAAACACATCATTCGTGCCCTGCAGCCAATCCCAGGCTGCCATGTGGAGCTGGCATCTCATTGGACGATGGCTACTTAGCAAAGTGCTCTCAGGCGAATGATGGGCAGGGTCCTGGGGATGGAGGTGAAACCGGGTCCCTGAGAAATGAGAATTTTTGGGAGGAATCTGCTTCTGGAACATTTCTACTAGCAACTCACCAACATGGAGCCAGCACATACGTTTTAATTAACCTAATTTAGAATCATCCTGCATTTCATTTCCACCATGTTTGATGGTGCAGGTTTTGTGCTTCGCGCTAATGGTTGCAGTACTCAGCGTAGGTTGTGCCAAGGTCAATTACTGCACAGGTAGAGCTTTTGGCTGCACCGAATTATTGCTTAAGCACACGCGGGCCAGTAATAGCTACTAACCAAGATTATACAGAGTGCCTGCGGCTCGCGAGGCACTAATCCAGCACTTTGGTTCTGTTCCACATCAAATCTGAGCATTTATTCCATTAACCAGCTGTTTCCTTCAGCTTTCATCCCATTCTTCATTCTGAATCAAGCAACAACTAATGACAGAATAATACATCTTACAGGCACAGAGTTGAGGAATTAAATGCAAGCAAGTGCAGAAAATCAGTAAATGAGGGGTTTAAAATGCACAAAGGAACCTGCAGAACCGGAGAGAAGTGGAAAACAAGGTCAACCGGATGAGTCTGAGTGTGAAAAAGCAACGAGCTTGAGCTACACCATGATACAACATAATGTACAGACTCAGCTGTCTATCTGCTTTCTCCACAGTGTAACAAACATCTTATAAAACAATCTACGAAAAAAATGTTAGAATTTAACGTTGTTTATAAACTTTACATCAAAGTGAAAATTCAATTTCTCAAGAAATTATGTACCAAAAAAATTTTTTTTTGGAGGGCATTATTTTGTTTTTGAATGAGAACCATGCAAAATGAGCGCAGCAACCTGAGGAGCCTCTGGAGGAAGTTCATGTTGAGTAGACTAGGCAGGAAATGTACCTGTGAAGCCCATGAGAGCTCCCTCTCTGGCCTGCTGCCTCAGACCCTCCACGTCTTTATAGTCGGCATAAACCAGGTCGACAGCCTGCAGCCCAAAAGCTTTGCTGGTCACGACCACCTTCTGCCTGGCGTAGAGAAGCTCCACAGCATCTTTGGTTCGTGTGACTCCTGAAAATGGGCAACATGAAAAAACATGAATGAAGATGACTATGGACAAATGTCGTAGAAAATCAGATTTATCGTGTGTTTCCATTGTCAGAGCTTCAGGGTAATTTCTGGGAGGAGAAAATTACCTGGGGGATACAATGGCTCGGTCGTCTCAGCTGCTGTGTCTCTATAACAAATTCAGCCCTTTCAGGACTTTGCACAGACATCAGCATATCACAACTGCTTTGGCAGTGAGCAATGTCACTGATCTATGCCAAAAAGTGTCCACGGTAACATTAAAAGTTTTATTCTGTCAAAGTACTGCAATTTAATACATTTGGAGGACAGAGATCTTCTGTGTGATGTAAAATGTGGTGTACAATGACCAGAAGAAGTACTGTTTTTTTATGGTGCTCTGAGAAAACACCCATCCCTGGGATGCCACCTTACCGTGGTGGAGGGGTTTCGGTATCCCAGTGATCCTGGGGCTAAGTTGTACAAGGTTGTATGCTTCTGGTAGGGCCACCCATGGCAAGCCTGTCCTAGGTGAGGGATCAGACAAAGCACAGCCCAAATACCTCATATGATGATTAGGTTTTGGTCAAATGGAAAAAGTGTTGCCTTGCCCTGATGAGGGTCACCGGGGCCTCCTTCTAGAGCCAGGCCTGGAGTTGAGGCATGTTGGTGAGCACCTGGTGGCTGGCCTTCACCCATGGAGCTCAGGTGGGCACAGCTCAAAGAGTCCCTCTTCCCATGGGCTCAACACTCGTGGGAGGGGCCAAAGGGTTTGGGTGCATTGTGTGTTGGGTGGTAGTCGAAAGCAGATACCTTGGATCTATTGGTGCACTATTGGGGATCCTTGGCTACAAAAGCTAGCTTTCGGTGTGTGTAATGTCACCTCTCTGGTGGGGAAAGAGCCGGAGTTGGTGTGTGAGGTTGAGGGGTTCTGGCTTGATATAGTCAGACTCACCTTGATGCATGGCTCTGGCTCCAAAACTAGTTTCCTTGAAAGGGGTTGGACTTTCTACCACTCTGGAGATACTTCCACTGAGAGGCACAAAGTAGAGGTGGGCATACATTTGTGCTTTTGGCACCAGGATACCTTAGCCCAGAGTTCAATGACAGACTTTGTTGTTATCTGATCTGATCTGTGGCTGCATGTCTTGGACACTCGAGTGTAGAGAGCGGCAAAGCATTCGACTGACCACTACCTGGTGGTGAGTTGGCTTCGATGGTGGGGGTGGATGCAGGTCAGACCTGGCAGGGCCAAACATATTGTAAGGGTCTGCTGGGAACATCTGGCAGAGTTTCCTGTCAGAAGATGCTTCAATTCCCATATTCGACAGAATCTTTAAAGTGTTCCAGGGGAGGTGGGGGACATTGAGTCCGACTGAGCCGTGTTCCGTGCCTTCATTGTCAAGGTAGACAACCAGACTTGCGGGCGCAGGGGTATCTGTTCCTGACATGGAAGCAATTCCTGAATCCCCTGGTGGACACTGGGGGTTAGGGAGGTTGTCAAGATGTTGTCAAGAGTCCTATCAGCTATGTTTGGCCTGTTGGACTCAAGAGGCAGCTGATAGGTACCGACAGTCTAAGCGGAATGTGGCTCTGGTGGTCACAGAGTCAAAGACCTGGAGGAGTTTTGTGAGACCATGGAATAAGACTACCATAGGGCTTTGAGAAGATTCTGGTTAATCATCTGTCACCTCAGAAGGAGAAGCACTGACCTCGACTTGGGACATTGTGGATCGGTGGGTGGAGTACTTCAAAGACCTCTTCAATCCCTCCGGCACGTCTTCCAATGAGTAAGCGGAGTCTGGGTAATTTGGGTTGGGCTCTCCTATCACTGGAGCCGAGGTCACTGAGGTTATCAAAAAAGTAATTGGAGGCAAGGCTTCAGGAATCTAGGCTCACTCTTAAGCCCCCTTCAGACAGGCCATGAAAAACGGAAATGTTCCGGACTCTGTCCGTAAGACCTTTGTGTCTGAATACAAACATCCGGATAACGTGTTCCGGAATTTATCTAGACAAAGCCCCTAGTAACAGGTCCGGACTTGTCACGGACAGGGTGGCTGCTTCAGACTGGTGAGGTAGAGTTCCGGACAAGGGGGAGGGGGAGGAGGAGGGGACCGGGGGACGCTGTGCGCACCTAGATAGACCACTGCTGTAGCATGCGGCGAACCACAGCAGCTCGCCTCCTACGGTACCGCCTAGACGCGTGACGGAGCGCTTCACACCGCTTCAGTGATTCCTTTAACTATTGAGCTTCATCATCCAGGTCTCTTATGCGTCTTCGTGTGCGCAGAATTATGCTTAAGCGCCTCGTGATTTTTATCTTGAGAGGCACTATAGAAATGATATTTTCTTCTTCTTCTTCTTCTTAACATGAATCCGATCCCCCCCCCCCCCCCCCCCCCCCCCCCCGCCGCCGTCAGACATCTGGAACTTTTCCCTGCTGTGTGAACGCAGCCGAAAGGACAAGTTCTGGTACAAAAGTGGTGTGTCTGAAAACACAGTTCCGGTTAAAACCGGATTGAATTGTCCACAAATGTTCCAAAATGTCCATCTGAAAAGGGCTTAAGAGATCGGGTGAAAAGCTTGATCATCTGGGAAGGGCTCGGAGTAATTTTGCTGCTCCTCCACATTGAGAGGAGCCAGTTGAGGTGGCTAGGGCATACGATTAGAATGCCTCCCGGACCCCTCCCTGATGAGATTTTCCGGGCATGTCCAACTAGGTGGAGAACCAAAGGAAGACCCAAGACATGCTGAAGGGACTCTGTTTCTTGGCAGGCCAGGGAACATATTAGAATACCCCCAGGGGAGCTGGCCCAAGTTGCTGGGGAGAGGGAAGTCTCTGCTTCTCTGCTTAGGCTGCTGCCCCACGACCCGACCCCAGATAAGCGGACAATAATGGATGGATGCATGGATGTGAGAAAACAAATCCCCCTGAATTAAATCAATCAATCAATCAATCAATCAATCAATCAATCAATCAATCAATCAATCAATCAATCAATACTTTATTAATCCCAGAGGGAAATTAGAGTTTCAGTACACACAATTCAGAGATCAGACATACATGGGCAAGACACATGACATGAATTGGTGACTGTGGTCATTCGCAACCCAAGTCGCGCTACCTTAATAGAGATAAGAGGGTTACATGAGGATTGGTTCAGGTGGAGGGAAAAAAAGGCACTTCAGAGTTACTCTCCACTGGGAGGGCAGCGTTGCTCTGCAAATAAACACCTCAACAGATAAGCAACAGACTTTAGACAACACAACATAACATGAGACTCCAATAGGAAGGCAGGAAGGGGGCTGGGATCCTGTTTCCCCCAGTGAGATCAGCCATCTACGGCGCTCATCTACTGAACAGTCACAGGTGGGAAGAAGATCTTGGGAGAAGCAAAGAGTACATTGACTCCTACAGTTGATGACCTCGCCTGGTTGAAGTCCACCAATCCAAAGGGGGTGGGGGGTGGGGGGGTGGGGAGGTAGGTCAGGTTTTCACAACATCTGACTGCATTCTTTCGTGGGGTTTTTTAGTTGCTTGCAGCTCAAGGCTACCAGGGCGTCAGATTCAGATAACAAGAATTTGTTTGGGTCAGGCTGAGATAATTTTTCCTCTCTGCCGTCTTTAAACTGATCATTTCCAGTCCTTCAGCGAAGCCAATTTTGGGTTTTAAGCTTGTCCATACCGTCCGGTGACTCTCTCCGAGATGACATCCTATTTGCGCACTAATACCGGTATCGCAGCTAGAACATTGTCCAGCTTAGGATTCACCTCGAGTAACGTCCCAGTCTGAGAAGTCTCCACATGGACGGTGCTTTCCGTGGGTGCGGATCGCCCTCCAATCACTCCCGTCGTCCCAAATTTCCAGAAAACCAGATATCCTCCCACTCCAATCAGGAGAAGTCCAGTGATCATCAGGCCGAATATCCACATGTCTTTGATATCCTCAATTGACAGCTAGCTGAGGCATATGATCTTCCACTCCTTCCAGGAATCCAAAATATATCCCACCGGGTGCGTCCCCTGTGGACATGTGGGATCCCCTGGTCCGTTCTCATTGTTGAAAAAATCTTATCGATCGCACTGAATGACCAGTTTATCAAATCCATGGTTAGTAAAAATAGTTTTTTAGAAGAAATGCAGAGAAGCGCTCTGTGGGCAGACAGGACAAAGAGCCTTGGGAAAAAAAGATAAGGTAACCAGAAGTCTCCTGACTACAACGTAGTCGGGGGACTTCGGGTTGTTTTTTGGTGATGGCAATTTAGTAACGCGATTTAAAAACAGCACTATTGGTGCTTAATTGATTGCATTTCTACTCTGCTACACAACCCAAAGTTCCACTCAGCTACTCTGTCGGGCCATTCCGAGTACCTAACCATGTTGAGGTACTCCGAAAGTTTCTCAAAATGGCTGATTAACCGTCCAGGAGAAGTGGAGACCTGCAAATCCCGGGAAGTTCTGGTAAAATTAACCTGAAGTTCTGATAGTGGACACACGCCAATTAAAACATCTTTAATAGGCAGAGCAGATTTGTAATACAGATGATGTGTATGAGCATAATCTGACCCCAGGTCAAGCAACAGTTTCCCTCGCTATGGCACCTTAGCTCTGATATTTGTACTGAAATTCTTTAAACACGTGCTTTATGGCAGTGTGCCCTGTCTAAAGCCTCTCCTCAGTGCCAGCAGGAAAGCCAGCAAGGAATTTGCTAAAAGACACCCGAAGGACCCCGAGATGGTGAGAAATAAGATTCTCTGGTCTGATGAGACCAAGAAAAAACTTGCTGGCCTTAATTCTAAGCAGTATGTGCGGCAAAAACAAGACACTGCTCATCACTTGTCCAATACAGTCCCCACGGAGAAACATGGCGGTGGCAGCAACATGCTGTGGGGGTGTTTTTCAGCTGCAGGGACAGGACGACAGTTTGAAAACAAGGGAACAAACAATGTGACCAAGTGCAGGGATATCCTGGACAAGAACCATCTCCAAACCCAATTGAGCATCTCTAAAGACCTAAAAATGGATGTCGTTCACCAACCAACCTGATGGACCTGGAGAAGATCTGCAAGAAGGAACAGCAGAGGATCCCCAGATCCAAGTGTAAGAAACCTTTTGCATCTTTACATGAAAGACTCATGGCTGTTAGCTCAAAAGGATGCTTCTACTAAATACTGAGCAAAGGGTCTGAACACTTATGACCATGTGATATTTCAGTTTTTCTTTTTTAAGAAAGTTTGTTTATTGTTTGTTTACCAAAACAACAAACGTTAAGGAACCCAAATGGTTAAACAATCTCTCTGACTTACAAAGAGCCAAACATCTTTTTACCAGTATCTTCCTGGGCCACAATTGTTGATCAGTAATCGTAAATTATATTTATGAGATTGTTTTCAAAAGGTCTTGAAATGTTTTTGAAGGGCCAAAAAGTTAAACAATAATCACATACTTGGACTTTGACTGAAACCCTTCCTCATTTAGTTTTTGTAAGTCATTTATGCATCCCTGTCTCTAAAACAGTCTGTGATTCCTACCGATGCTGGCACAGAAGTCATCAGAGCCAAACACCACGCCATCATGATGCAGAGCTGCTTTAGGAGCAATGTGACGGATTTCCTCACACACAGTCTGCAAAATGGACACAAATCAGCACAACACAAGCAGACAAAAGAACACTGAATTGAATGACGATTAGAATCATTTCCAAAATGTTGTCATAAAGTCAAACCTCTTAAAAATACAGCATCCAAGCATCACTTTGATAGTATCATGCTTCTGATATCCAAGAATCTTAGAACAAATAATAATTTAAACATTTAAATGGAGTATAATTTTGGTAGACCAGATACAGTTTAATTAAATGTATTTATGTTAAGATGAAAATGATTCATACTGAACAGATTTATTTGTGCTACAGTAGAATCTAAGACCAGCAACCAATAATTTGTTTCTTGCATGTTTTTAATCACAAAACTACGACCACTGCTCGCTGTGCCACAGAAGGATTTCTATCTCCATTTTCGCAACCTGGTGTTCAGTCTGGTTAAAAAATACAGGGTGTGTTCAAGAAAGTGCACCCCCTGCCACCTAAACACCCGTAACACACAATCAACCAAAACCCAAACTAGACAAACCAAAAAAAAAAAAAGGAAGAAAAACCAGCGGGTTTCTCCCCAAATCCCCTAAAAACGTCCCTTGTTCCCTCCGGTATCTGAAGGTCATGTTTTCTTGTAGCAGAAGTCTATCTGATGCTCACTGTGAATGTTTTTTTATTATTATTAATATTTAAACAATACTAATTAAAAACACTAGCATGTCTGAACACAAAACACGGAAGAAAAGGCTCATTTTGAGAGGCAGTCAAAAGACTTTTGATTCTGGACATGTGGAGTTCTCTGCACGCCAATGGCGTCTTTAATCTAAACCCAACAATGGACAAACAGCCAAACGTCTGACGTGTGCAGATTTTTTTATTTTGGACCGGGGAGGGGCTTTGCTTGTAATTTACCTTAAAATTGAGCAGACCCACAGCGGTTTCCACAAAGGTGATGAGGCGAACGGGTTCTGTCAGCGTCCGTCCTTTCAAGCTGTGTTGAAACCTGTCAACAAACTAAGCACACGGGGACCGTCTCAGGCACAACTCATTAACAAAAACCCACTGTTTCTGTGACGAGAGTGGCGACAAACCTTTCAACAGTCTGGAGTTTAATTTGCTCCCAGGACTTCGTGGGATCACACTTTCTAATTCATTTGAAGGCTTTGTTGAATCATATTCTGATTGGTTATTTATTAATAAATATGAACATTTGTCATTTTAGTGTTAATGAATGTTTATCCATTCCATAGTTTTTTAAGCAAGAAAAAAGTCTAGAAAAACTAACTTTTAATCCAGATTGGTTCCCGTTTCCGCCCCGCACTCTGAGAGACGTCAGGGTTCAAACGGCATAGTGAGCAAGGAGCAGGAGATGCATAAACAGGTAAAATAAAATGTTTTACATTATCACCAGGGTTCCCCTTTCGTCTGAAGTCTTCTGCTCCACCTACCCTCAGAGGCTCTCCTCAGCAGCATTGTGCTCCCCTGAGAGAGGGCGCACGCATGTAAATTCACACGTGCACGCAGCGTCACATGCATACACACAGCAAAGCAAGAGAAGAAACAAAATACAGAAAAAAGAAGAAAGAAAAAAGAAGAAACAAGATTTCCGATGTCTGTGAGAGTTTTTGTTGCTACATTATTCTGGTTTGCGTCCCTCCTTCGTGGGGAACGGGGGAGACAGGAGCAACAATCTGAGTGTGATGTGACACTTTGCTGAGGCCTTTATTCTGCACGACTGCTGCTAATATGCAAGCTCACCTAAGTAGGGCTTTAAAACCAAGTTTAGTTCTTTGAAGACCAAAGCATTTCAATCTTTTCCAACAGACCAGTTCACAGCGAGCCCTGGACTGCCAGTGGGGTTGCCCAAATTCCTAAATCTATCATCTGGAAACACACAAAAGCCCTCTCCGTCAGATATTTCCTTTCAAAGGCAGACAAAAAGAAAAAAGAGAGAGACGAGAGCGCAAGAGTTCCCCTTTCCTCCTCGTTTGCTCCTTCTTTGACACACCATGAAAAAGAAAGATGGTTGTAAATAACCCCAGGTACATCGCAACTAACTTCACACTCACCACTCCTCCAAACGGAAAGAGTGGACCTCCATTGAAGGATATTTATAAAAAAAAATAGAGGCAATTTTAATCATCTCACCATTCAGTCTCAGTTGGATAAATCATATCTGAGAGATTTGCATAAATACAAACCATCAAAGACTTTTCATCTTCAAAGAGGTTTTCAAGACCCAATAGGTTTTGTACTGTAATCATCTGAGGTCACAACCCTGTGGGAGCAAGGCTGCTATGGCAACATAAAAACTAATGCTGGGGGTTTAGCATAATATGCCCTCCTCCTTCGCCGACACACGAAGGGGTGGGGGGTCCGAGAGGGAGTGTGAAAAGAGGGTGTAGATAAACCCATTTCTGTGAGAGAGGGAACTGGATACGGCCTGTTGTGGGGAAATCTTGCAAATATCACACACGGAGATATTACGGCCGTGCAAACCTCAACAAGGCTGTGGAGTGAGCTGTTCAGATTCTACCAAAGGAAAACACGTGACAGCTCCACGCAGCACCAGCGACCCTCTCTGATTACATGTTTCTGTCCGTGCACTGCCACTCTCTTCTTCAGCTATTATACACTTTAAGTGTCTGATTTAGCAGGATAAGAGGCACTATAGTGCCTGTTTATTGTTACTCCAACACACAGCCACCATTATCCATCAATGGCTATCAAAACTAATACCCTTCAAGGTGTTACTCACCACCAAATTGAGAAAAAAAATAAAAGGGATTGCCAAAAAGCAGAAACATCACTTCTTCTGGCCATTCAAAGCCAAGACACAAACAAGCCCTCTGACAATTTTAACTCCTGATCATGAAAAGAGAAGGAGGGTGAGACGCAGCTGAAGAAAGGAGGCTATAGTGGGACAAGTTTCAATTAATTTTCTTCAAAAGGGGGCCAGATTAAATGTTTCCGGCCTGCTGAAGTGTTCATTTCACAGAGGGGAAGCGGAGAAAAGGGGTGGAGGGGAGGAGGAGCGGAGGAGGAGGAGCAGGACAGACAGGGTGCGATTCTTTTGGTCCCAGCGCACACCAAATAGTGTGGTGGGCAAAGAATGCACACGGCTCTGAATCCGTGTGAGAATTGTCCCCAAACAAAGGAGGGAGTTACGCCTGTTACAGCCCAATAAGGCCTGTCAGTCACACAAGGGCAGGAGGAGAGCAGAGAGACGGCGCAAAGGACTTCCGCACAAAGAGAAACAAGCAAGTCCATCTTTTAGCGACAAATCAGTCTGAAGGATCCTGTGCCAATATCAATAAAGAGGGTGAAAAAATAAACAAGTGAGGGATTTACTGCCCTGCCTTACAAGAGGGGACAGAATCAGACGCATGCCTGGAACACAAACACACACAGAAAAGGCACAGGAAGAGCTGTGAGGGACCAAGGTGGGATTAGATAAGCAAGCACGAAAGAATCAAGGTCCCATCCAGAGCCCACATGCATGCACCTGCTGCAGCAAAACACAAATGCACCAAATGCAACAGAACTTTACAGAGGGGGTTGGGGAAATTAAAATTAAATTAACTTTCGTGCTTTACCAAAAGAAGAAAATGGCATTCAATTACCAGCGTTTTAACGCTTAAATGTGCAGATAATCATTTTTAGCAACAATAGGAATAAAACTCAGTGATTTTTAAGAAACTGCTCGACAAAAGTATTTTTTTTTAGGAGCAGCTATGGATGAAAAGCTGAGCGAGAGCATTAGGGAACACCTGTCAGCAATTATACTCAGAAGAAAGAGAGAAAGACCAGCAGGAAATAGACGCGTTCTAATTAAAAGCGCTAGTTAAAAACTTCCTGCGCCTGCCCCGAGAGCACGTATGTGAGCGTGTTCGTGTCTGTGTATGTGTGCACTCGTGCGCACGTGTTACCGAGGTAAGAAACCAGACTAGACACCGTGCTTTCACAGCAGATTTAACTGAAGCTTTTAAAGGATAAATCGGTCACTTAAGGAAATGCTCAGCTAGAATGATGGCTTGTAAAAGTTCCGTCTAAGAAAGAAGGAAAAAATGTATGAGAAGTTTCACAAATATAAAATGAACTTAGAGCTACAACAAATATATTTTTACAAGTGAACTTTATGGAGGTGATCAGAAAGGTCTGAATTTATGCTGTTATGCTTCTAGCAAACCCTTGGTAACTAATATATGCCAGAGGTGGATAAAAATATAGCTGATATATCATTTCTTTTCCAAATTCTTAAAGTGGGCTTACACTCGTTATTTCTATACATTAGCTGTTCTCTTTATATAAATGAATGCTTTGTGAGTAGTTCTCCGTGGGAAAAAAAGCTCTAGCGTTCCTGTTTACCATTGCCTCTTTTCATTCTGATGTTTTATCTCCACAAACAACCCAAGTCAGAAGGAGTTCTGCCATGTGGTGGATTTGCTAATGCTAACAGTTAGCAGTGTTAGAGCATTTACATTAAAAAAGTAATTAGTTATAGTTACAATTTTTTTTTCAAAAAGTAACTGAGTTAGTAACTCGGTTACCACATTGTAAATGTAATTAGTTACCCAGCAAAGTAATTGTGACATTACTTTTATGATCTATAACGCAAGATTTCAAATATCTAAACTGTTCATTCAGTAAGATGTTCTCATGGATATCTGCCAATTTCTACTAGGATCAATAGAATTATACAGTACATATCTGGAATACATATCCAATCTGCCTAATAAATGTTAAAAAAGTCACCTTAGTTTTTGAGGGATTCTGAGAGACCTTAAACTTCCTACTAGTGCAGTTGTTATCATAGATATCCTATAATTTTTACCAAAGCTGTTGATGTCTTCATCTGTTGTTTTGACTAATAAGAATACAGTTAGTAATAGGATACATTAAATTACTGATATATAAAATATTAGATTACAGAGAGGTCCAATTTCTGATTAAATGTTAAAACGGCTTGTCACAGTCTTGCTATCGTCTTGCCTGTACTGCTTTAACCATCTCCTCACCTTTCTGAAGTACTGTTTACTTTTCTTTCTTCATCTTTTACAGATTTGTCCCCACCAACATTTACAGATCCATCACCTTAATGTAATAATTGTCCCAGGCATTTTGCGTGCGCCAACCTCCTCCCTGCTTTATAGCAATCGGAGAGATGAGTGTGTGTGACGCTGCAAACAAACATCGCAACGTGTTTGGAGCTGCGGGGCCCTTTTTGTCGTTTGTAACACTGGCTCGGGGTGGGATAGCATGTGCTAGCAAAGCCGGTGTCACTCACTCCGGCTCCGATTGGTTCAAGAGCCATTTCATTATAGTAACAGGGCAATGCGCCACTTTACACGCCCAGTAATGATAACGGCGTTACAAGGATGGGAAAAGTAATTAGATTACTCTGTTACCTAAAAAATAACACAGTTAGTAACGCCGTTATACTTAAACGATGATAGATTTTGTAGTCGTATCATCTGACCTGCGGCCGTATGTTTTGGACACCCGAGTGAAGAGAGGGGCGGAGCTGTCAACTGATCACCACCTGGTGGTGAGTTGGATCAGATGGCAAGGGAACATGCCGCGTAGACCTGGCAGACCCAAACGCATAGTGAGGGTCTGCTGGGAACGCCTGGCAGAAGAACCTGTCAAGACGGTCTTCAACTCCCACCTCCGGCAGAGCTTTGACCACGTCCCGAGAGCAGTGGGGGACATTGAGTCCGAGTGGGCCTTGTTCCACTCTGCGATTGTCGAGGCGGCTGTTGCTAGCTGTGGTCGTAAGGTGGCCGGTGCCAGTCGTGGTGGCAACCCCCGTACCCGCTGGTGGACACCAGAGGTTCAGGGAGCCGTCAGGCTGAAGAAGGAGGCCTACAGGGCGTGGCTGGTCTGTGGGTCTCCGGAGGCAGCAGACAGGTACCGGATAGCCAAGCGGGGTGCAGCAGTGGCAGTTGCCGAGGCAAAATCTCGGGCGTGGGAGGAGTTTGGTGAGGCCATGGAGAAAGACTATCGATCGGCTCCAAAGAGGTTCTGGCAAACTGTCCGGCGCCTCAGGAGAGGAAGGCAGCAACTCGCTCACACTGTTTACAGTGGGGATGACGTCAACTGAGGCTATAGTCGGACGGTGGAAGGAATACTTTGAGGAGCTCCTCAATCCCACCAATGCGCATTCCGAGGAGGAACCAGAGCTGGGATGCCTGGGGATGGACTGTCCGATCTCGGGGGCAGAAGTTGCTGAGGTAGTCAAACAACTACACAGCGGCGGAGCCCCGGGGGCGGATGAGGTTCGTCCTGGGTATCTCAAGGCTATGGATGTTGTAGGGCTGTCATGGTTGACACGTCTCTACAACATTGCGTGATCATCGGGGGCAGTTCCTAGGGAGTGGCAGACCGGGGTGGTGGTCCCCATCTTTAAGAAGGGTGACCTGAGGGTGTGTTCCAACTATAGGGGGATCACACTCCTCAGCCTCCCTGGAAAGGTCTACGCCAAGGTACTGGAGAGGAGGGTCCGATCGATAGTTGAATCTCAGATAGAGGAGGAGCAATGTGGTTTTCGTCCTGGCCGTGGAACTGTGGACCAGCTCTATACCCTTGCAAGGGTGATGGAGGGGGCATGGGAGTTTGCCCAACCAATCCACATGTGCTTTGTGGATTTGGAGAAGGCTTATGACCGTGTCCCCAGGGGCACCCTGTGGGGGATGCTCCAGGAGTATGGGGTGGGTGGCTTTCTGTTAAGGGCCATTCAGTCCCTTTACCAGAGGAGTGTGAGTTTGGTCCGCATAGCCGGTAGTAAGTCGGACCTGTTCCCAGTGAGGGTTGGACTCCGCCAGGGCTGCCCTTTGTCACCGGTTCTGTTCATCACTTTTATGGACAGAATTTCTAGACGCAGCCGTGGTGTGGAGTGTGTCGAGTTTGGTGGCAGGAGAATCTCGTCTCTGCTTTTTGCGGATGATGTGGTCCTCCTAGCTTCATCCAGCTCTGACCTTCAGCTCTTGCTGGGTAGGTTCGCGGCCGAATGTGAAGCGGCTGGGATGAGGATCAGCACCTCCAAATCTGAGACCATGGTTCTCGACTGGAAAAGGGTGGCTTGCCACCTCCAGGTCGGGGGAGAGGTCCTACCTCAAGTGGAGGAGTTTAAGTATCTCGGGGTCTTGTTCACGAGTGAGGGTAGGAGGGATCGGGAGATCGACAGGCGGATTGGTTCGGCGTCTGCAGTGATGCGGACGCTGAGCCGATCTGTCGTGGGGAAGAGGGAGCTGAGCCAGAAAGCCAGGCTCTCGATTTACCGGTCGATCTACGTCCCAATCCTCACCTATGGTCATGAGCTTTGGGTAATGACCGAAAGAACGAGATCGCGGATACAAGCGGCCGAAATGAGTTTCCTCCGTAGGGTGGCCGGGCTCAGCCTTAGAGATAGGGTGAGGAGCTCGGACATTCGGGAGGGACTCGGAGTAGAACCGCTGCTCCTCCGGATCGAAAGGAGCCAGTTGAGGTGGTTTGGGCATCTGGTCAGGATGCCTCCTGGACGCCTCCCCGGGGAGGTGTTTCGGGCATGTCCTGCCGGCAGAAGGCCCCCGGGTCGACCCAGGACACGTTGGAGAGGTTACATCTCCAATCTGGTCCGGGAACGCCTTGGGGTCCTGCCGGAGGAGCTGGTGGACAAGGCCGGGGAGAGGACGGCCTGGAGCTCCCTAATTGGGATGCTGCCCCCGCGACCCGGACCCGGATAAGCGGAGGAAGACGAAGACGACGAAGACGAAGACGAAGTTATACTTAAACGCTGTTACTCCTGACAGTTAGCTTCTACTAGCCGAGACATGCTCTGCTCTCTCCTGGATGCTAAATAAATACAGCCTTCTCTTTGTTGCAAGACAAAATGGGTGAGTCCATAAATGCTAATTTACGGGTGTGGCTTTTCCGACTTGAACGTTTCCTGTCTTTTTTTTTATTATCGGTGTCTAATGCAGGCGATGGGGTTGGATGAACGTGACCTTACAGACATCTGAATTTAATTTTTAATGGCAAACTCATCCAACAGCATCAAGGCCGACTCCAACCATCGTTCAGAAAAATCCTCCCATGCATTTGCAACATTTTTCTAATCAAAAGGAGGACAAAAAGAAATGCACCAAAGAGAAAGTTAGCTAGTCCATCCCAATCACAATCCTTCAGAGAAGATTAGTTCAACAAGAAGTCGCTTGAAGAATATAATAAATATCTTGAACAAATGTTTTTTTCTAGAATTAGTCACTTTTTCATGCTGGGATGGCAACTAGATGATTAGCCTATTGCAAGGTGGATTTTAAATAACATGACATAAAAAAGCCCCCAGATATCACAATATTATCTTAGGCCATACAACACGGCCCTTTAAACGCTGTAAAATCAGTATAAGTGCAGTAAGAGATCAGCTTTTTAATAGAGAAGAACCTCAGTAAGACATTCAGTTTCTTAAGGTAAACTGCTCTTTCACTACATTTAAGCACAAATGAGTGTAATTCATTGCAGCTTAAGGTTCACATTAACTGGAACAAATCAGATTTATTGCACAGCCATAACATGACCCTTTTCTCAGCAGTCTGCATTCAGTTGAACAGTGGCAGAAGGGACCATTATGAGTTATCAGGTTCATTTAAATAAATGTCGTTTGTCTTGTGAGCTGTGCTCTATCGAACCCTTCTCTTCCCATAGCAGTTCAGTTTGTATTTTTCTTTAACTTTTATCTAACCAGGAAGATCCAGTTGGGATTTAGCTTTTATCTAATTATTTACTATAGTTTTATTTCTCGTTTTTACATGATTATATTTTATGACTTGCTTTGCATGTTTTAAATGAATTTATATTTTAGCACTGTTTCATTATTTAATATTATTATTATTTTACCGTCCATATGAGTTTATAAATTATTATTTATTTTCCTAATTTTGTCATTTATATTTTTATAATTTCACTCATTTTAATCTAGTGTTTTCTCTGTAGGGGCCCTCTGTCCCGGGGCGGAGGTCGACTGTTGCTTCCTGGGCACTCTACAGGTAGGGTTTGCGTGAAGGTGGGGGTCTATGCTCCCCTTCCTCTGAGCGCCCTGACTTATGGGCCATTCCCATCTGTACCGGGTCGGCCCGGGTCGGGTAGTGTAGGTTGTTTACATATCTGGGTGGCCTGGTATTTTTCCGGGCCAACCAAGGCTCATTCTCAGCCCTCTTCTCGAGGGGGTCTGCTTCAGGCCGACCAGGGCCAACACACCCACTGCTGACAGCAAATTCACACCTTCCATTAGAGCAAGCCTCTGATTGGTGGGTAGAATCAGCCAACATGGGCTTAAGACAAGGACGTGTGGAATCAACCGGGCAAGGCTGGGGCCGACTGGGGCTACCCGGTACAGATAGGAATGGCCCATTAGTTTTGTTAATTCAGGACGGTCTTCACATTCTGCTTTGAAGTCAGCCAGTGGAAGCACTTTTAGCTGAGGAGAAATTTCAGCAAACTCTGTGATTAGGTGTGATTTGTTGCTGTGGAAGACCTGATGCTGCCGGCGCAGACAGCTCCTCTGATGGCGTTTCCTTGCCTTACCTTACTTGGCTCACCTGGCCTCAGCCGTGTATAAATTTTTACTGATGTGATTGTGTGTGTGTGTGTGTGTGTGTGTGTGTGTGTGTGTGTGTGTGTGTGTGTGCACGCGCGCATATGTCTGTTAATATTTTCAAACTATTATGGGAAATTGGGGTCATTTTAATTCTGTAAAGCACTTTGAGTCGCGCTTTGCTTGAAAAGCGCTTTATAAATAAAATCTGATTGATTGATTGAAAACCTATTTGTCAAGGGAAACAAGGCCAAACACGGTAAAACACAGAGAAAACAAGGTTACAATAAAAGTTTAACAGATTTACAGCAGTTTACATGAGGAAAAAGTTTATTATAACAGTTCAGAGGACTCTGGTTTATTTCCTGATTCATTTATTATATCAGAAAACAACGTACGACTTCTAACTCACCCATTTGACTTCATCGGTCTCCTCTACTTTGGGCAACATGATGGCTGGAGGAAGAACCTTTCCCTGCAAAATGACCTGCAGGTCATCCTGAGCTAGGCCGCTGGACACGGAGTTCACCCTCACACACTTCTCTGTTCGGCCCAGGTCCAGTTCTGCCAACATCCGGGCTATGGTCTCCCTGGCTTCCGTCTACAAAGCAAAAGAATAAAACACATAAACACACTTTGGACATTATAATTAAACTGTTTACGAGGTAAAATGAGTACAAAGGATGATGAAAGTAGTCACCTTAATTTGAAAAGCAATCATATTTACTTTAAGGCCATGTAGGATGGCTTCATTTCTCTCAGCTTACTCTTAAAATGTAAAAAAAAAATGAAAGAGAGAATGCAATAAAAGTCCAATTCCGCTGATAAAACATCTCCATTAATATGCTCAGAAAAAGCATAAAAAATAATCATCACATTAGGAACAAAAATAATGAGTGATCAAAGTGATTACGGATCAGTTTAGCATGAATAACACAATGTTCGAACCCCTACAGAAAAAAAATCAAGCTTCCCTTTCTTGTTACCATGTCCATGTGGTGTTAAGACCAGATGATGTGAGCTAAATAAGCAGTTAGTAGCATTTTTGACTCAGAAATAATTATTCCTCAACGCTTGACTTGCATACAAATTGTTTTATGTTTTGTAATACAAACAAGCTTACAGACCAATCAGTGTCAAGGGAAACATGTCGTGCGGTAATTGCTTATCAAGTTGACTCGGTGTGAATAAATCAAATAACATTTGATTTGATTAAATGAAACCTATTCAAACTTGAATATAAAAATCACAGGCTATGTGTAAACACTGGCCTTTGTGATAAACAACAAGAAAGTTTATTTTATTGAACTGTTTAAGACAACCTTTTACTAGAACATCAACAGTCCCAGTCTGAGTGTATCTCAGTAGGATCTTTGATTTTCAGATCATCCTGGGTCTATGTCTGTGCATTAGGAACATTCTAGTATCAAATGTTTAACTCGTTAACTGCCAGAGTTTTTTAATATCATCCAGCCAGCAGCAAAAAGGGGCGTTTTAGTTTTTAAACAGGAACGGCCCCTTCTTCTAATTCGCTCCTGAATTGTTACTTCACATCCGGTCTCAATCGACATTTCAAAATAAGATAGTGATAATTCTGGTTGTTTAAAAAAAATAACTTCAAGATAAAATAGTGATAATTTGGATTATTTTAAACAAATTATTGTAAAATTTTAATCTAAAAATGACTGTAATAATTTTGAAAAGATTAACATTTTTTAAAACACTCCTTTGCTGTTGGTGGAAATCTCAACTGATACAGATGGTTCAGTAGTGTTTTGTTGCAGAGGCACAGAGGAAGCTCCACTCCATGCCAGTGGGTGAGATGAGCTGTAATGAAGCTGCGGAGTAATCAGTGAGACTGAATACACGGCAAACAATTCGATATTCTGTGACAGATAGTTACTTCTCTGTAGTTTTGTGAGTTTTTATGTATAAAGGAGGATGAGCTTGCAGCTGTTTAGCTGCAGGATGGGAGAAAGAGAGAGAGAGAGAGAGAGAGAGAGAGAGAGAGAGAAAGAAAGAAAGAAAGATTCTCTGTAGTTTTGTGAGTTTTTATGTATAAAGGAGGATGAGCTTGCAGCTGTTTAGCTGCAGGATGGGAGAGAGAGAGAGAGAGAGAGAGAGAGAGAGAGAGAGAGAGAGAGAGAGAGAGAGAGAAAGAAAGAAAGAAAGAAAGAATCTTGCGCTGTACAGTGTGCCACCTTTCTAGAGTTCTCAAAAATCGAACAGAACACCGACATGATGGACATGTTGGGTAGACTTTTACTTTGTCACATGTTCAGCCGCAAAATTTATGCATTTTGAACCCCATTCTGATTGGTTGGTGACTTGCTACAGTAGCCCCCACTAAGGCTTTTTTGTAGCCCAATCAGAAACACCCCGCGACAGGCTGGACCCTGCTCGAGATTTAGAGCATTTTTATTGTTTTTTGAAGACTCACAGAATATTGTGCTCTATGACCATGTAAACACAAAAACTACAATAGGGAAGACTCACTTCTTACATCAGGAGATTTCATTCTTTCACAATCCGTTGTCAGTGTGAGCTGCAGAAGCTTTCTCTGGTTAGCACCTATAGCTTTAGGCACAGCAGCCTCCCAAAACAATCTCCTAATACAAGGATTGTTCGCTTCCTAATCATGTGACATGTGACACACACAGATGGAAATCAGCGTTAGAGCTGTGATATTTACTCTCAAGATGTAGGAGTTCGTTCCCACACCTGCCCCGTAAAAAATGCAATTAATGGCTTTAGTTGTAAATGGCAGCGAGTAGTTCATCAATGGCAGTGAACGAGTTAAAGATGACCACAGCATTATAGTCCCTTTTCCATTAGCACCTACTCAGCGTGGCTTGACTTGGCTCTGAATGGTTCTAAGGCTTTTTCATGAGTACCGGGTACCAAGCCGGTTTATTTGAGCTAGCTTTACCAGGCTGAAAACACAATGTCAGAAGTTTTTTGGTCAATGATTGTTTAAGGGGTGGTGTCACCGGTCAGTGATTGGATAAGGGGTGGTGTCACCGGTCAGTGATTGGCTAAGGGGTGGTGTCGCTGGTCATTGATTGGTTAAGGGGTGGTGTCGCCGGTCAGTGATTGGCTAAGGGGTGGTGTCGCCAGTCATTGATTGGTTAAGGGGTGGTGTCACCGGTCAGTGATTGGATAAGGGGTGGTGTCACTGGTCAGTGATTGGCTAAGGGGTGGTGTCGCCGGTCAGTGATTGGCTAAGGGATGATGTCGCCAGTCATTGATTGGTTTAGGGGTGGTGTCGCCAGTCAGTGATTAAGGGGTGGTGCCACCGGTCAGTGATTGGCTAAGGGGTGGTGTCACCGGTCATTGATTGGTTAAGGGGTGGTATCGCCGATCAGTGATTAAGGGGTGGTGCCACCGGTCAGTGATTGGCTAAGGGGTGGTGTCACTGGTCATTGATTGGTTAAGGGGTGGTGTCACCGGTCAGTGATTGGCTAAGGGATGGTATCACCGGTCATTGATTGGTTAAGGGGTGGTATCGCCCGTCAGTGATTGTTTAAGGAGTGATGTCACTGGTCAGTGATTGGCTAAGGGGTGGTGTCACAGGTCAGTGATTGGTTAAGCGGTGGTGTCACCTGTTACCCCCAAATTCCACTACCTCCGCTCCGCTCCGGACCGGTCCGCCCCCGCCTTCCGCAGCCGCTCGCTTCCGAACTCAATTTTTCTTGGTACCCGCTCTACAACGGCTCCGCTCCAATGCGGAGACCTGAGGTGGGCAAACAAGCATGCGCGGGATTTTCGAGATCTTGCGATACAGTCCGAGCAATAAACGCGGAAGTTAGATCCAAACACCCGTTGTGTGGGAGAAGCATCGACATGAACTGTTTAATCTGCCCATCATTTGTGTTGAGAGATCAGCAGTGTTTGGATCAACAAAGTGTGACTACTTTGATAGTAGAAACTGTATTTATGGCTTACTTTTGTGCATTTAAACTTCAGCCGCCATTGATAGTTGTTAAAAGTTGTTAAACCTGTGCATATGAAACAAAAAACGCCTTTTGTTTATCGATTTAATGTGAAAAACGGAAGTTGTGCTTGTTCCTTTTCCTGTTGGGCGGTTGTGATTTCTGTCCATTTACTGCGGAGGTGCTCCGGCGTCCGGCAAAAATAGGATCGATTCTATTTTTGCCGGACGCCGGAACAGAGGGCGGCGCACGGCGCCGCACTGCCGCAGTAGTGAAATTGCTCTGATTGACTACAACGGGACCGATTTTGCTCCGGCGTTCGTGTCGGAGCGGAGCGGAGGTAGTGGAATTTGGGGGTTAGGGATTGTTTAAGGGGTGGTGTCACTGGTTGCTCTAGAGCAGTGTATCCCAACCCTGGTCCTCAAGGCACTATCATGCACGTTTTTCATGTTGTTCTTTCAAACACCAGTGTTTCCCTGCTGCAACACACCTGACTTAAATGAATGAGTGATTAACAGGCATCTGCGGCACTTGATGTCCTCCTGAGGAGTCAATGTAAATCAGGTGTGCTGAAGCAGAGACATGGAAAACATGCAGGACAGACAGTCCTAAGGACCTGGGTTGAGAAACACTACAGTGTTTTGCCTAGCTACCCATAGATTTTTACGGGTATCTTTTTTTTTTTTTTTTTACAAATATGACAAAAAAGCCACAAACTGAGCATTTTCTAGCCAGGTCCACCCTGAATGTTTAAAGGGGCATTATAGAAGTTTGACAGCCAAAACATGTATAGAAATAATACATTTATTCTTAATACATTCTCCTGCAATACCCTGGTCCTGTAGAATGAGCCCTGGCATTTTTACTGCGATTTCCTATTTTTCTGCAAAATCACAGAAAAAGAGAGCTGCTCGGGTCGAGCAGGCTGCTTCATGCGCGTTCACGCTCAGGCATAGCCCTCCGAACCATTCTTAAGTGGTACAGATACGACTGACGTCACTGGCGCGATAGCTCGCCTAGTATGGGGGTCAGCAACCCGCGGCTCTTCCATCCATCTGATGCGGCTCTCTGTGCTTGTAAAATAATGAATGGCTGTTTAAATAAAATGCTTTATATTTTACTGCATTAATTTTCCATCTGTATGCCAATTCTAAATGTAAAGATTGTCTGCGTAAACCTGAACAGTTCCAACCCGGTCTTACTGTGAGACCAGGTTGACGGGTCACGCTTGTGCGTAATCATATCGGCGCATTCTGAGCTGACGAGGATGTGAGATTCTGGGCTTCTCCTCAGACGGCTCCTGGATGTGTCGCCACATTGGAGACAGGAACAAGCACTATTCAGCCAAAGTTTCATAATCAGGGAACATTTTCTAAGTGACAAGTCTCGCTTCAGTCGGAGGAATCTTCCTGCATGCGCTCTGGTTCTGTGACGCACTCCAAGCCCCTCTCCACATCTTCAGCTCGCTGTGCACCGTACATACACGCTGACAGTGAGCTGCGCTGAGCAGTGTCCAGCTCAGATGTTCAGAAGGGAATCTTTTCTTGAGAGATTTAGCTACATCTGCGATGTGCGTAACAAATAAAATGTCAGTTTTTCTGCACGCTTCGGGGTAATTCTTTCAATTCTTTCTCCGTCAAAATAAACGGTCAAATACGGGAACTATCCA